TCACCCAATATGTGAACAAATGACTGCGGCTGTGCTCCAATAAATCTTGCTTCCAAAAACAGGTGATAGTCACAGCTTGCCAACTGCATTTAGACCCCAAGTCCTTACCTTCCACTAAAAAATAGGGAGTGAAACTGATAAAACGCCAACAGACTATGTAAATATTTTACAGATAGCAGGAAATGGCACAACAAAGCCACACAACAAGGAATTCCCTGGGGGTCCAGTGGTTTGGACTCGGTGCTATTACTGCCGAGGACTCAGGTTCGATCCCTGGTCGGAGAACTAAGATCCTGCCAAAAAAAAAAAAAAAATCCCCACAGAACAAACTTTTCTATGTCCACCCTAACTCTCCCCTCCACTCACCATCTCCTTTCATAAGGAAAAAAAGTTATTTGTTCCACCACTGAACCTGAGGTTTAATATGCAAGCATTCTTAGAAGAGACAACACATTCATCTTTGATTCCAGTAAGTGTAACCTATTCACATCAGAACCCAACCTCCAAGTAGATTATCTTAACACCAGGAGACATATGAGCCAGAGGTGACGGAGTGATGGCCCCCATGAAGAGATTCTGGTGGAAAAAGCTCAGGCTACAGAGAGAAGCTATCAGAGCTCTTGTGGGCTTACTCTTCAGGGAAGATAAGTAAATTGTATAGCTGGTTTTAACATGTTAGTGAAAGTGAAGGTGCTCAGTTGTGTCCGACTCTTTGCGACCCCACGGACTGTAGACTACCAGGCTCCTCTGTCCGTGGGCTTTTCCAGGCAAGGGTACTGGAGTGGGTTGCCATTTCCTTCTCCAGGGGATCTTCCCAACCCAGGGGTCGAACCCGGGTCTCCCACATTGTAGGCAGACACTTTACCATCTGAGCCACCAGGGAAGCCTTTAACATGTTAGGTGCTATGAAAAAAAAGATAAAGTGAACAGAGTAAGGGAGGCTGGGAGTGCTGGGTGGAGCGAGGTGTAGTATTAACAAGATGGTCTAAGTAGGGCTCATTAGCAAGACGCCTTTTGACACAGAACCTGGAGATGAGGAAATGAACCACGCAGATGTCTGTGATGGTTTGGCAAGCAAAAGAAACAGCCTGTGCAAAGACCCTGGGGTGGATGGTGCTCAGAATATCGTCAGAGTGGCAATGTAAGGTAGAAAAATCATAAAGTGATGTTAGAGATGGCATTAGGGGACCAGAAGATGGGGGACCATTGAAAAGCTCAGACAGGAGGAAGGGTGGGCTTTGACATACATGTGAAAGCGTCATTTTGGCTAGTCAGTGGAGGACAGCAGGCAACAAGTGCGGAAGCAGGGAGAGCAGGCAGGAGGCAAGCGCAATACTCCAGGTGATAGATATGTGGCAACTTAGACCAGTAGGTAGCAGTAGAGCTGGTGGAAAAGTGGCCAAATTTGGTATATATTTTGAAAATATGGCTAACCATATTTCATGATGGATCAGATGCTAGCTGTGAAGGAAGGGTAAAAGTCAAGGGTGATTCCATATTCTTTGGCTTGAGCAACTGGAAGGTTAAAGTTGCTATTCGCTGAGAAGGCAAGCCTGTAGGAGGAGCTGGTTTGAGGGGTTAGTCGGGAGGTCAGCTTTGGACATGTTAGGTTTGAAATAGTTATTAGATATTCCAAGTATAGATGGACAAGCTAACAGTTGAATACAAGTCTGGAATTCAGGGGAGAGGACCTGGCTGAAATTTGGAACCATAAGCATATAGATGGTGTTTAAAGCCATGAGTCAAAGGAATTTTTTAAAGAGAAAACTAGAGGTCAGTCAGAAGCCAGAAGAAAGACAGACTGTCTCCCTCTCTCCCCTTCGTCCCTCCCTCCCTCCCTCCCTCTCTGTCTCTCTCTCTCACACACATACACACACACAAACACACATAATGGATCCTATCATGTTCTTTCTTATAAAAATGTAAGCACTACTGTTCCCAACTGAACAAGCTTGTTTACATCATGAAGTCAAATCACCCCACAAGCTTGTTGCCTGCTAAAAGCTCACGAAGAGAAGCTAAGAGGAAATTCTATGGGTCTTCCTGGGTAGAGGTGACAACACAGACCATAATTTAAGCAAATCAAATCACGTAATGGAAATAGCAGGTTGCCACAACAAGTTAAAATTGGACTAAAGACATGGAAAATACAGAGCCCAAGAAAGGTTCAGGAAAAGTGGCAGAGGAAGTGAATGAATAGAATAAAGAAATAAATCTGAGACATTTTGACTCAGAGGAAAGCACTCCTCCCAGCTGCCCTCGAGTGTTCCAAGCCCTCCAAAAGGGATGAGAATCCTAAGAGATTGTGCCTAGGTGTTTCCAGAGTTCTGCCACTTCCTCCTTCTCTCCCCTAAATTGACTTTTTATTCTAGAATTGATCTTCAGCCACACTACTATGTTTAAACAGCAGTAAAAATTGCCATATGGGAATGGAAATGAATTGGCAGAGGGTAGAATTCATTTATTTGGCTAAGTTGCTTTGCGGTCACCCTGCTTCACCCTCGGTTTCTCAAATGACTGCCTACTTGATTGCTAGAGGATGGAGAGCTGTGTGGAGTCCATCAGTTACTTCTTTGCTAATGTTAGGGTATTAAGTTCTCCTGTTTTAAATTGTTCTAAAGGACTCTTTGTCATTCCCTAAATTCCAGTTTCAAACAGAAATATTTTTCAGACATTCTACTGTAATTAAAACTTTACTGTGGTCCTTCCTCCACGAGACATAAGTCCCCTGAAAGTTTGGCCTGCCTCTGTTCTATTTGCTGCTGCATCTCTAGCTCCTAACAGAATGCTTAGTAGACAGGTTCTCAAAAGACTGCAGCACGCCAGGCTTCCCCATCCATCACCGACTCCCAGAGCTTGCTCAAACTCATGTCCATCTAGTTGGTGATGCCATCCAACCATCTTATCCTCTGTCGTCCCCTTCTTCTCCTGCCTTCAATCTTTCCCAGCATCAGGGTCTTTTCCAATGAGTCAGTTCTTCCCATCAGGTGGCCAAAGTATTAGAACTTCAGCTTCAGCATCAGTCTTTCCAGTGAATATTCAGGACTGATTTCCTTTAGGATGGACTTGCTGGATCTCCTTGCAGTCCAAGGGACTCTCAAGAGTCTTCTCCAACACCACAGTTCAAAAGCATCAATTCTTCAGCACTCAGCTTTCCTTATAATCCAACTCTCACATCCATACATGACCACTGGAAAAACCATAGCTTTGACTAGACGGACCTTTGTTGGCAAAGTAATGTCTCTGCTTTTTAATATGCTGTCTAGGTTAGTCATAGCTTTTCTTCCAAGGAGCAAGTGTCTTTTAATTTCATGGCTGCAGTCACCATCTGCAGTGATTTGGAGCCCAAGAAAATAAAATCTGTCACTGTTTCCATTGTTTCCACATCTATTTGCCATGAAGTGATGGGACCAGATGCCATGATCTTAGTTTTCTGAATGTTGAGTTTTAAGCCAGCTTTTTCACTCTCCTCTTTCACTTTTATCAAGAGGCTCTTTAGTTCCTTTTTGCTTTCTGCCATAAGAGTGGTGCCATTTGCATATCTGAGGTTATTGCTATTTCTCCCAGCAATCTTGATTCCAGCTTGTGCTTCATCCAGCCCAGCATTTCGCATGATGTACTCTGCATATAAATTAAATAAGCATGGTGACAATATACAGCCTTGACATACTCCTTTCCCAATTTGGAACCAGCTGTCCATAGCTGAGCCTAAAATAAATCATTAGATTTATTACTGATTACATACAGTCAGTGTGCACAGGAGAAGATAGTAAGATGAGTAAAGCCATGACGTTGTGACTCACAGACATAGAAAACAATCTTATGGTTCCCAAAAGGAAAGCAGGGAGGGAGAAATTAGGAGTTTGGGATTAACAGATACACACTACTATATATAAAATAGATAAACAACAAGGACCCACTGTATAGCACAGAGAACTCTACTCAATATCCTGTAATAAACCACAATGGAAAAGAATTGGAAAAAGAGTATATATATGTATGTATAACTGAGGAGAGGAGACAACCTACTTTCGAAAGGCAAAAACATCTGACTTCATTATGTCTTCTAGTGCTGCCATGCCTAGGCATTTGCACACTGCAAATATTATCATTATAAACCATTTTCCTTTTAAATTCTCTTTCTTGCCATATTCAGGCAATATTTTCCTGTCTCCTGACTCCTGTCTTCTGTCTCTCCTCTCTGTCTCCTGTCTCCTCTTTCCTCTCTCCTGTACACCTGAAACTAACACAGCATTGTAAATCAATAATACTGCAATAAAAATTTGTAATAAAAAATAAAATTTAAATGTTGTGATGTCATAAATCATTAGAGTGATAATCATAAATCAGTCAAGTGATAATCACATTCTTTCGTTGCACTCTTGGTGCATGGTACATTAGCCAAACCCACCTCTATTCCATTTCTGGATTTCTTAAGCTGTGGAAATGGGCTCCTTTTGGATCACTTGACCATCCGGCTCTCTCATACCCTCTCTAGCCTCCCTGGGTCCATTCTTGAGCTTAGTTTTCATTGTTTATTCTCTGCACACTTTGGCGTTACCTCATGGTTTCCTGACTCGTGTGAGGAGTCAGCGTCACAAGCAGGCTTTGGCCAAGAAATTTTCTCGTCCTTTCCAGCACAGAGCTCTCCAAACAAAGACAGGTTATCACATGTACCCGAGAGCTGCCTGGGAAAAGCAGGAGCTGTAGTTATCAAAGTTGGAACCTGTATGAAATATGCTTTTGTCTCCGTTTTTGTTGCACTCAATCAGGTCAACAAGTGTTGGCTAAGCGTTGAGCGCGGTTTCCTGTGGGATTGTGTAAGGCCTTGCAGGACAATAAACGTTTGGGGGGCACTGAGTAATGTGGCCATTTCTGACTTGGCAGCCGGGAAAATGTGAGACAACTTGCTGCTGCTGGAAGGAGGACAGCTGGGGCTGTGTCCCTGCAAGAGCAGTGCAACCTCACAGCCGTGGCCCTGGGCAGCAGGACCAGCCAAAATGGTGCGTGTAAGCGGCAAGGGGCTGCAAAACAGGTTTGGATCTGGGTGTTGTAGACCCTGAAGCTCACAGACGGGGAGGGGGGAGCGCTTTAAGAAAAACACTGCAAAATTATGAATGTGACATTGATGGGGCTCTTTGGTGGGACCATGTCGTTCAGGGGCCTGCTCTAGGAAATTCACTGGGAATTCCCTCCTAGCTCAACATCTCGTTCATGGAACCTGTCAGGTGGTGTGTACATCACCGGTGGCTTGATCTGGCTTTGTGTCGTTTCCTCTGCTGATTTTCCCCATACTATTCTTTAGCCATTGCCTTTCCAGGGCTTTTTTCCCTTCCTTTAGTTATTTATCTTTTTAATTGAACTATAGTTAATTTACAATGTTGTATTAGTTTCAGGTGTACAGTAAAATGACTCCGATATATACATATATGTATATATATAGTTTTTCAGATTCTTTTCCTTTATAGGTCCTTCCATGACTTTTCATACTGGCTTCATAACTACTCCTGAAAAGATAAAGAAATGTTAGTCAAGCCTTCTTTTATTTATCTGTGTTTTTTTATGTTATTTTAGCTATGAATATTTGTTCTTAGCTTCCTGAAGTCTCCCTAAGTCAGGGGTCTGGGGTATTTTAGATGGAGGTAGAATATGGGAGGGAGGTGAACCACACAGTTGCAGCCAAATTCATAGAATTTAGAAATTTCTCATGGACCATGATGGTTTCATTGGATTTAAGAAGTTGTACAACTATAATGTAGTCTAGGTCAGTGTTTTTCAAACTTTCTTGTGCACATAAGTCATCTGGGGATCTTGCTAAGATGCAGATTCTGATGTACTGGGGCTGGGGTGAGATCTAAGAGTGTGAATTTAAAACAAGCTCCCAGGGTATGTTGATGCTACCTGTCCATGGACCACACTTCGAATAACATCCAAGTTTTGATTTGTTAGAAACCTGGTGGCACAAATACACAGTCAATCTGATTTTAAGCTAACCAGTCCCAGGACTGAAAGCTTGTAACAGACCCACAGAGCAGGTGCTTGTTGACTAGAGAAGGCATGGGAATCTTCTTCCCAATACCTCTCTTATCCCTGGGGGGCGGGGGGGCGGGGCGCTGGCGGAAGAGGGGCGAGGCTTGAAATTTATGTTGAAGGTCATCTCACTGTCTCCAGTTTCTAAACTTCACTATGATCTTTTGAAAAATTTCACCTACAGAGTGATGAGAAGAAGGGGTACAGGTTTCTGGAACACCTGCTAAGGTGCTAGGCATCATACTGCCATTTTCTCTCGACTCCTCATCACCCTTTGCGGTGGTTATTGTTTTACCCCCTTTACAGATAGGGAAGCTGAGGTTTAGCAGGGTTAAGTAATATGCCACATTGCACAGAGAGAGGGCTAGGATTTGAACCCAGCGAAGCCTGGTGCTTTTGTCCATATCAACCTGTATCCTTAGCAGTGTAACATGTTAAACAAATTCAGCATGAGGTATTAGGATGTGGATTTAGCACTTTTTGCTTTTCTCCTAAGGAAGGTGCCCAGAAGGGTGTCCTGGGCAGAGGGAAGGGAGCAGAAGGAAAGAGGTTGCTGAAAAGAAGGAAGGGTTTAGTAAAGCTCTATGAGGCACTGAAGACGAATTTCACACCTAAAGCAAATATTAGCTCCAACAGGAAAGACACTGGCATTCTCATCTCGGTCTAAAAATGGCTTCACAAAGTGTATAGTTTTCAAACATTTGTTTTGGAGCAACCAGAGTATGGTGTTTCAAAATGCTGGATTCAAGTGTCACTATTAAAGGATTTCTGTCCATATCATGCCAAGATCAGTTGTAACTTTCTCTTGCCTGCAAAATGTCACATGAAATGGGGACCTGGCAGGTTCTGCGGGGTGCTTCCCAGGTGGCACAGTGGTAAAATGAGTAATTTCTGTGGAGCCATTATTCGTCTCAGGCCAGTGTCTTAAGAGTTATATATTTCAATTACTTTACCTGATTCTGAGTTAAGCTTTCTGTTCCCATTTAACCTAGCATCATATTGCTTTTTTCAGTTATTTAGCAGGAAGATAAGCAGGCCTGGCCTTGGGCAAATAGTGGAAGACAAAGTCTGTCACAGGTCTAGCCATTTTGGGTCCCAGTCTGCACTTGGAGCGTCTTCCCTTTCCTTCCTGCCCTCCCTCCTCCACTGCTTTCCCACGCTAGGTGTTATTTTAATATCCTGACACCTATCAAAATCTTTAGGTAAACGACATGTAAAGTAAAAGAGGATAACTAAATCAAATAAAAGGGTAAGGAACTGCTACCCTCACCTCTCAATTCTAAAAACTAAAGCTTTAAAGGCACCATCCTGAGCCAGTCAGGAAATATACACTTGGTTTCAGGAACTATCCGACAGCCCCATTTAACTGTACATACCTTTCTCCTTTCCTTTCCTGCTTCCTGCTCCGCTTCTGCACCACTTAGAATGTATTCCAACTTCTGTGGTTGTATGTTCTTATCTACTTTCAAAATGTGAGCTAGAGTTTTGCTGTTTAACAGTGCTTTGGACGTTCCTGCTGAAAGATTACTTAATAGGTCACATCTTTCTGATATTTCCAATAAAAGGTCCCTTGTGTGGGTCTGGCAAGACTGAAATTGATGCCGAGTTCTACCATACTGAATGCTTAAGCAAGGCTATCACATGTTTAGCTGAACACATAGATGTTTTAGTATATTTATTGCCACGAAGGGGTGGGCAGTGTCCCAGGCATGACCCCAGTGACCTGGCTCCTGGGCTGTTTTTCTCAGGTCACACTGCTGCGATTCTGGCTAAGTCACCTAAGCTGTTGGCGCTCAGTGTTGCTTCTGAAAAATGACTTCTAGGGTTTCTAGCACCTTTGATACCCTGTAGCTAACTCCCTATGTTTAGGTGAGAGCGTTCTCTGGTTAGGAGGATTACGCAGCTGGCACATTCTTCTCTACCCTCGGTGTTATGGGCAAGAATACGGGCTGTGCACATACCCAGAAAACAAACTTACGGCTACGAAAGGAGAAAGGGGAGGGGAGGAATACATTAGGGGTTTGGGATTAACAATTTACACTAATACATATGAACCAGATAACCAACAAGGACCTACTGTATAGCACAGGGAACTCTACTCAATATTGTGTAATAACCTCTAAGGAAAAAGAATCTGAAAACAATATGCATGTGTGTATTATATATATATATATATGGTTAATTCAGCATGCACCTTTTATGCATTAAAGGTTACACATGGTTGCTGACTTCCTTACAGAAAATACTGATTTCTTCCAGCTTTTCTTTTCTGCCTCCCCTGAACTTTAATCTTCCTAGTTTCATGTGTTTATGGAAATAGGCAGCCTGAACTATTTGCTAAGCAAATTGATGCATCTATTCTATGTAGGTACTGATATACGAGTATCCAGCTAAATCCCACCAGCTTCTCTATGGAAATAGATTTCTGGTTTCTAATTTTAGGATCAAATTTCATTCTGTTTAGTTTCTTTTTAAACCTTCCCAAACGAATTTTCCTTAAATGTGGGTGGGCAGACCTGAGTTTGCTAGTCACTGGAGAGGTAGCTGAGTCCCAGAGCCCTGTTGACTTACTGTGATAATACAAGACGGGAGACGTTCTATTTCTAAAAATTAGTCCTCACCATAGAAATGCCTGCAATTTAGAATCTATGCTAATCTCAGAAAAGACGGAAGTACAAGGAAGGGACAGAAGAAAACAAAAGGAGAAAGGCTGGTTCAAAGTTGATCAGGAAGCAGGTTTTGTCTCAGAAGAAAGTGATCGGGAGATGAAAAAAGTGTGACTCATCCAAACAGGGTTCTTTAAGTTTGTTAAGATGCTCGGAGTCCAGCTTAGGGAGTGGAACTTTGAAGGACATCAAAAGCAGGTGGCTCCGGGTGTTTATGACATGAGAACCATGGATTACAGACACGTATGTATAGAATGTGAACTCATTTTTGTGAAAAGAAACAACTGCCTATGTAATTTCAAAAAAATCTAGAGGCATATTCACCAAAATGTTAACAGTTTCCTTTTGCTTGTCTGTACTTCTTGGTTTTGCTGAATAAATGCATATCCATATGATTTTTAAAATGAAAGCCAAATAATTCACAAAGGTTAGGATTTGGAATAAACATTTTTGTTAACATTTGACAAATTATATTCCATCAGATGCAACAATGTGTATAAACTCTTGGAGTTGTATTAGAAAGTGTTCTGAAGGACTTGGTACCTTCCTTTCTAGTCAATGTCCTTCTTCCCTTCAATATACAGAAGAGACTTTGTGAATTTCATTTGTCAATGGTTTCTGTGGTTTATCATACTAATTTTTTAGATAAAATTCTCCAAGAAACCATCTTTCATGTGATGAATGTGCAAATTCTATAAACAGAAAAGCATGTGTATCACATGTAGTTCCAGGAAGGGCTGTGCACTACCTTGGACATTGGAATTTGCATTTTTAAAACAGTGCCTTTTTTTTTTTTGAGTTTGTAGGATGTTATTTCCCTGATCAGGAATCAAACTCTGGTCTCTAGCAGTGAGAATATGGAATCTTAACCACTAGACCACCAGGGAATTCCCTAAAACAGTGCTCTTAATTTTACACATTGTTACACATTGATTCAGCATCTGAAATAAATGTTGCAACATTAACTTTGTACTCAACTACCTACCAGATCTATTTAACTACCACTCTGCTTTGAGGAAGAATGTTTCAGGTGTGGATATAAAAGATCTTTGACAGGAGTTTTCACAGTGTTCTCTTTCTGCTTTGTTAATTTTTTTTATGTAGATATTTAAAAGGCAAAATTTCCCTACATCTCTGTCCAGTGTGATATGGCTCCTCCAAAGCGGACTATAATTAACAAAAAGTAGACCCTTCATAGTTTGAATAAGTCTTCAAGTGAATTCTCTTCCAGCCATAGGCTATAGGTGTAGAAAATAATCTTATCTGAACAGGAGTGTGTGTGTGTGTGTAGAGTTTATCATGGAGGCAAAGGTGAAAGGAAGATGTGATCCCTGCCTTCCCAGGCCCAGCTGGGTTTACTGCACCCCAGTCTCTGCCTCATTTTTTAGTCCAAGGCAAACAAACCAGTGACCATGGAGAATAGCACTCAAAGGAATTATACTTTTCTTCCAGATAAAACAATATTCAAAGTAAAAAGTGACAAAGATTTTACTATATTAAATGGTAAGATTACTACTTCTGCCTAAGAGAAAAGCAATACCCTTGGAGAACGTTAGAGTGATTCATAAATAGTCGCCTGATCCATGTATGATAAATGATAAAAGCTGAGTTGCTTGATTCCCATTTTTAGAGTGACGTGGCCTATGTCAGGAGGGAAGCTGTCTGGGCCTGAGATAGTTTATTCAATGTTAAGTTGAGTTTCTCAGTCTCCCTTTCTTCCACTCCCCTACCACAGAGGGCCCATCATACTCCAGGGCCGTGCCCGTTAGTGATTGGATGGGTTCACTTGGCATCTGCCTCCATCCAGACAGAGCAATGTCTGTGTGGCTGCTTCCTGATCAAGTGATGAATTGGATGCAAATACCTTCTTTTTAATGCATGACCCTGGCATAGCCAGAAGGAATATGAGTGGGGTGCCTCAGAGCAGTGACTTTTTGCCTAGAGCTTGAGAGTTAAAGACGTAGAAGCACACTTCTTCAGCTCTATCGAAATTAAGGTGAGTAAAGTTAATTACCTTCAGATTATCAGTAAACAAAGAAAGATAGTAATGATTGGGCATCTTACTGCTAAGAACCATGTGATTTCACAAAGCAGAGAAGAACATAGGAAGTTGTTCTCTTGTGACTGACTACTTAGCATTCCTTTTCATTACCAGACCTGGTATCAGACAGAGGGTTGAAGCAAAAATCTTAGTAGAATCAGAAAATGAATGCATTCATTTTCCAGAAATAGCTTAACTTTTAATGTTTTATGCAGTTCTGGAAGAAAAAGCAAGAGTATTTTTAGTTTATGAAGCACCGATTCTTTCAGTTCTTTTACATCTGTCTTGATAACTTTTGAAAAAGTGTAATGCTCAGAAATAATGAAAATTGTACCCATATCCTTTATGCTAAAGATTGATCATGTTCAGGGGTTGTGGTGTCATTTACCAACAATACCAGAGTCTCACAGTGGTTTGGATAGTTTGGTCCAACAATTGACCCCATTAGTGGAGGGAAATTACAGTTGATCAGTTACTTCAAACACGGTGAACTGTCAGGAGTTGAAATTTTTAAAAGTTGGATGATATTCAATTTAATTCAACAAATGTCCATAGAATACTTAAGGAAAAAGGAGAATTTTGATGTGGTGGCCTGGAGGGTAGTGTGAAGACAGTGAATGTGTGATCCAAAGTGGGGGATGAGCACACATAAAAATGACATTAAAAATCAACATATTTATACAAGTCACAACTAAGGCAGTAGGGAAAAAGTGCAGGTATGTGTGCATTTAAGAGCATGCTTCATTGCATGTTCCTCTGTAGTTCTAAATCTAATTTTTTAAAATTAAAAGGGCAGCAGAGGTTGAGATGGTTAGATAGCATCACCGACTTAGAGGACATGAATCTGAGCAAACTCTGGAAGATAATGAAAGGACAGGGAAGCCTGGTGTGCTGGAGTCCATGGGGTCACAAAGAGTCAGATATGACTTAGTGACTGAACAACAATACTACCCCTTAACAAGAAATAGTTGAATAAAAATTATGAAAGCTAAAAGAGAACCTAGCCAGCTGCTGCTAACATTCATTTTAATCATTTTCTTTTATTTAGGACGACAATATGGACACAAAATCCATTCTAGAAGAACTTCTCCTCAAAAGGTCACAGCAAAAGAAGAAAATGTCACCCAATAATTACAAAGAGAGGCTTTTTGTTTTAACCAAAACACACCTCTCCTACTATGAATATGACAAAATGGTAAGACTCTTATTTATTCCATTGTTTTTATACTACTTATTTTTAAGTCTCCACAAAGTGCTTAATATAAGGAAACAGATTTCTCAGCTTATACAGTAAAAACCAACTTGTGCTCTCTTATTGCATTATCTTTTCTTAACCAAGTTATAATTAATTCAAGATATCAGTGTTAGTCACTCAGTCGTGTCTGACTCTTTGCGACCCCATGGACTGTAAACTGCCAGGCTTCTCTGTCCATGGAATTTCCCAGGCAAAAATACTGGAGTGTGTAGCAATTTGCTCCTCCAGGGGATCTTTCCCACCCAGGGATCAAACCCAGGTCTCCTGCACTGCAAGCAGATTCTTTACCATCTGAGGCATCAGTGAAGCCCATAATTCAAGATAAAGGATTTTTCAAACATTGGTTAACTTTACTAAGGGAAAGTGTAACTTTAGAAGAGTGATTCTCAACTGAGGGTGATTTGCCCCCTAAAGGACACTCGGCAATGGCTGGGACCATTTTTGGTTGGTTGTCATCACTGAAGGTGGGAGACAGTTTGCTACTGGTGTCTCCTGGGTGGAAATGAGAGTATTTATATGCAGCTGAGAAATCTATCATGGTAGAAATACTGAAATACTGTCATAAAATTCAAAAATGAAAATGCTTTGTGGAGTTAAAGCTTGATGTTACTGAGTAGATATGGTAGGTGATTTAAAATGTGTTTCAAGATTATCAAATAATTAAGTGCTGCTTGAAGACTTGCTTTGGGGGAATTTAATTAAGTTTATGTCCACACTCGAAAAATATATTATGTTATCATTGAATTTTTACTATTATGGAATAACTGGAATGATTTTCACATGCTCATGTCATCTCACAATCTCCCTCCTAAGCGTAACCTTAATTTTATGCATTTCTTTGTGCACCACTGTATATCACATAAGGCATCTTATATTTTCCTTTTAATTCAGAAAAGAGGCAGCAGAAAAGGATCGATTGAGATTAAGAAAATCAGATGTGTGGAGAAAGTTAATCTTGAGGAGCAGACCCCTGTGGAGAGACAGTACCCATTTCAGGTAAGGGGAAAGGTAACATTCCATTGGATGGATGGCTGTTCTTTTAGTATTTTCTACTACGAACTCAGTATTGGGGGGATAAATAAAGACATTGCAAAATGGTTCATTAAGATGATGGCATGTGCTTATATTTATGTAACCATAGACAGCATTCTCAACCTCTCTCTCTGAATTTGTAACATCCCCAGATGGGAGTTGGGCAGTTTACTAAAATTCGATCCACCAAGCTCCCTTCCCTAGAGGGAGAAAAAGATAGATGAGTGTAAGCCTTAGTGGTCTGACTTGCCTTGGGGTCTGATGATCTCTTTTATCCAAAATTGCAGAGCATTTCCATTACACTGCAGGGTACTAGGCCCACTGTCGGGAATAAAATGCCATCCCTGTCCCCAAGGCATTTACAGAGAATGCGTAAGATGAAAACGGCAGCGTACCCATGGTGTCTCAGAAAGCAGAAGCTGCACTCCTCACTCCAAGAAGTCAAGGAGACTTCCTGTTGGAGGTGACACTTGGGTTGGGAAAAACAATGGGGTTTAGCCCAGCAAAAACAGGAGGGCAGCAAAGCCAAAGAAATAGCAGATGTCAAGGCACTGGTAGGTGGAACTATGGCATGTTTAGAGAGATCCAGATGGTGCTTAGAATTAAGCAGCCCAGTGAAAGAGTGACAGATGAGTCTGGAAAGGTAGACCAGGCCATATCATGAATGGCACTGTAAGGCATGCTAAGGAGTTAGAATTTTACCCTCAAGTATTTCAAACACTGGCCTGCTGTGAAGACTGTGCCTATGGTACAGGTGGAAATGGCTTGATCTAACAGCTTCCCTACTTTTATTATATTAGGAATATTTATCTATCTGCTCTAAAGACAGACGGACTGTCCTTCCAATGGTCAGATTACCCTGTGCTAGTATGAGGGAACAGTGGCCAAAAATGAAATGAAATAAAATAATCCAGTCAGTGAACAACCCATACTTCCAACTTAAAAAAAAAAAAAAAGAACATTACTTAGTTGGGAGAAACCAGGGAGTATGTGCTCATGGCAGAAGCTTCAAAATGAGTATCACCGTGGCATGGAATACTCAAAAGTACACTGGCTGTGATGCCCCACAAATATTCTCAAACTCTGAGTTTGTTTCCTCATTTGCAGTGGGCATAATCATATATTTTTGTAGAGTTGAAAGGGAATAAAAATGTTAAACTATCTAGAAAAGAGCATAAATGGAGTGTATTGTTTACCCACAAAAGCTGGATAAACTAGAGAAGGATCTGGGCAAGACATTAGAATGTTCACACATCTCACCAAGTGTCTTAAAAAATAGAAAACTGTTTATATTGGGGACTCCCAAGGTGGGACATGACTGAAGGGAGTCACATGTTAACTCAACATAAGCATGAGCTATATAATGATCAGAATGAAAGGAAATTTATGCCAGGATGGCATAACAAAAGTAAAGGACATCCCCTCCCTGAAGATATTTTCCAGAATAGAGCAGATAAACACTTTGCAGTAGGCTACAAAGAGAGTCATGCACTGGGTTGGTGGATGGACCAGAACATTCCTAAGACATCTGTAATGTCTAAGGTCTTATACTTTTATAATTCTCCATGGCTCGGGGCATTCCTGCTGAGACCTCCGTATTTGCTGCTAGATGCCTCATTGCTGTGGTTTTCTGAAGTGTAAACATATCTGAGATAAAATATATTGAGTGGTAGAGGATAAAAATAACTAAAAATTTTAAAATCTAATTCAGAGCTAATGTATAATATGTAATAAAACTCAATGTTTCTTCTGAATACCAAAAATTTTGTAGTTGCACCAGAGTGAACTATAACACAGTTACATCGAAACGCACCAAATATTTTCCTTTCCAGATTGTCTATAAAGATGGGCTTCTCTATGTGTATGCATCAAATGAAGAGAGCCGAAGTCAGTGGTTGAAAGCACTACAAAAAGGTATTTTTTTAAAAGTCATAAAAGGGAGTTGCTGACTGAGTTCTTTGAGACTTGGTGGAGAAGAGATGTGGCAATAAAAGGGCCTACTGCCAAGAGAGAATCTGTTGATTTTCCTACCAGCCTCAGAGGATGTGCTGCACTCGTCCCCGTTTTGCATTCTCTTTGTTACCTAGAGGAAGCCTGGGGATCTGATTCCCTTTCGTGCCCCGGAGCACAGAGCTGGCCGCTGTGCGCTGTGCCACCCAGCAGCTGGGAGGAAGTCAGGCCACCTGCTCTCCACCCACTGTGCTTGCCTTTATCAGAGCAAAGCCTCGGTCCTCATGGGGCTATGGCAGCGCCTATGGCTACTGTACTGTGGATGTTCATAGAAATTTATGTCTAACACTTACAAAGTATTATCGTTTGCCAGCTACTGTGTCAAAGAGCTGTAAAACACTCTCTTAGGTAATCCTCTTGACAACTCTGTGGCAAGGAGTAACATTATTCTCTGTTTTTCGGATAAGTGAAGTTAAACAGACATGGCCAACGTCAAATACCTAATTACAAAGAACATATAACTCAATTACCCAAATCCAACTTTTTAAGAGTACAGTATAAATGCCAGGCAAAACTGGGGATTTGATGAAACATTTATTTAGTGCTTCTTAGGCTGCCCTGGTAACATCCTTTGGCAGAAGAGAGAAAACTAATAGTAACTTGGCACTATGATGTTTCTCCCTAAGATATTTTTATTTTAAAGGGGGGTAAAGGTGTAAGGACAACATTTAACTCAAACAAGTGCCTCTATTGGTAGAATTTCAGATATTAAGCTCCCAGAGGGGGATGATTTTATTTCATTTAAGTTTTAGATTCAGGTTCTTTTTCACTACACCTCAAAGTACAACACTCAGACATCCACCTACTCTATTTTAATGCAAACACATCTTTTTTCACTCCTAGGGCTTACCTTTCCCTTCATGTGAAAGGGTTTAGCATCCTATTATGTAGGAGAGGACGTCCAGGGAGGAGAAAAGCCACCTTCTACCTGCCACCAGCTCACTGAAGTGAGAAGGGCATCCTTCTTAGAGTCAAACAGGCCTGCTTTGCTCTGTCATCTACAAAACCATCTAACACCTCTGGGTCTCAGTTTCCTGACCTGTAAAATGGGAGATCAGATCTCTTTTTTTTTTTTTTTCCTGGAGCAGTCACAAGCTACAAACGTATGACTCGTAGATACAGTAAAGTGTCTGACACTCAAACACGAGCTGCTGTGTTATCGTGAGGCCTTCAGGAGGAACTCTAAGATGCTGCTTCCTATCCAGTCTCCTTTGCGGGGATTTTCCAGGGGCAGTTGCTATGTAGACACTCACTGTGGCGCTATCTGTCATGCACTAGGGTCCTGTGTGAGTCTTTCTGGAACTATATATGCTAGGCAGGTTTGAGTGGGCCCTGGGCAGCTCACGTGAAGGCAAATGGAACATAAAAGAAGAGCAGAGAGAGAAGCAGAAGTGACTCTTGTAGCCTCTCTAAACTGAGAGAGAGCCCCTCTCACCAGGGCTGCCCTGGGCACAGGAAGCCCTTTGCATCAGCTAGTGATGCTTTGGGATGCAGGTAAAAAGACACCACACAGCTGCTCAAACAAATACATGTTTGTTCCTCTTCCAAATCCAGAAGTAAACAAGACCAGGGCTGGTGCAGCAGCTCAATGAAGTCAGCAGGAACACTGGTTCCTTCTAGATTTCTGCTTTGCTACACTTAGGGGCTCCCAGAAAGGTTCTGAGCTTTCCCAGAAACCTTTCTCTGCAAACTCTTGCTTGTGTCTCATTGGCCAAAACTGTGCCTCATGGCCATCTCTGTGTGAGAAGGAGGCTGGAAGACAGCATTTGGCTTTTCCAGCTTCTGTGCTGAATGACAGCAAGAGAGAAGGTGGGTGAGATCAGCTGTCAGGGTGGCCAACCAATCTGCCACAGGAAAACAAAACGGTTCCCTCACTCAAAGCCTTTCTCCTATGACGTTTCCCTGATCTAGAATGACATCACCCCCACCCATGTCCCAACGTTTTTGTGTCTATTATTTGGCTCAGGCATTATAAACTGAGGTGGACATCGGAGACACGGAATTTCCCAGATGGTAACCTACACTGAGTTTGGGCTGATTCAAGAGTGTCAGCTACCATGGCTCTGAGTTCAGCTGGCCAGATGTGAATAAAGTGTTCCTTTCTTTCCAAAAATTAAAACTGAAGGGAGTCTGGCAGGGAAGTGGACATGTGAGCATTGGAATATAGTAGCAAGAGCTTGGGTCTGAGTCTCAAATGTGCTAGACAGTGAACTTGATCAGGCGACACCACCTCTCTGTACCTCAGCCTACCTGACTCTGTAAGAGCCACGGTAGCAAAAACAGCTCCCCTCAAGTTTGCTGAGTAGATGAAATGAAATGGTGCAAGTGAGGGAAAATACGGAAATGTGAAGTCCTATACACATATTAATATGTAAGTTTCTCTTACTGTCATTATTAGGTGGTAGGAGTATTGCAATGTGGACTTCTGGACTTGACTGGAAAACAGTTAGTTACCCAGGAAGCTAAATTCATGTAATAGGAAGTAATAGCAACTCTGGTACACAGACATCAGGCGCTTACACAGCAGAAAGGCATATAATGCACCCGAGGAATTGCAAAGACCATTTGGGACTAAGGTCAAGAACTAGTGTTTTGTAATCCTAACTTCTTTTGCTTCTTGTGACTTCTGTAATAATTTCCCTTTAATTCCCATTAATATTTGGTTAAGCTTTTTAATGCCAAATTTTTTAGCTAAGTTGAATTGAGTTAAACTAACGAAGTGATATCATTAAAGCCCACTGTTCACTGAGCACCTTCTCTGAGTCACACATTATGCCAGATGCTTTATATACATTGGTTCATCTCCTCCCAATGACCCAGCAAAGTAGATATTATTATTCCCAGACACTTCCTGCAGTCAGGGTTGTAAAGAAGGAGCATTGTTCTCCTGGTATCAAAATAAGGAATCCTCAAGATGAATATAAAATCAAGAAGGAAGGAGTTTAAGTCGCACCTAGACCAGCCCTCCCTACCTGGAGACTCTTCTTGAACTGTTGTCTACTAAGACCTTGTAGATTTCTCTGCTGCATTTTGAGAGAGGTGAATTTGTTGCAGACACAGTATTATACTCCAATATTGGAACTTCATTTCTTTGCATTCAACATTGCCCTATTCCCACATTTTTTAAAAATATACACATACTCTTAGAAAAGTAGTCCTGTATTCCTTAGTATTATATTCCCATCTAATCCTTTGTGGAAACAGGTCAAAAGTCACAAAAGACAAAGAAGGGACAAGGAACTGTTCTAGATCAAGAAAAACTAGATAACTAAATGTCATGTATGATTCTAGATTGGATCCTTGATCAGAAAAAAAAGTGAATGATTACCAAGGGTATTATTGGAAAAACTGGAAAAATTTTAAATACAAAATATATATTAATAGTATGATATTAATGTTAAATTTCTTGAATTGATCATTGTATTATGGTTATATAAGGGAATGTCCTTATTAACAGAAGTTACATGCTAAAGTATTAATGGGTGACATTATTTATGATTGCAGTTATTATCTGCAACTTACTCTCAAATGGTCAAGCAAAATAATGTTAAGATTTTAATAATAATAATATGTATGTAAAAAGAGAGAATAAGAAGAAACAAATGCGACAAACATTTAAAAATAGGTGAACCTGTGTGAAGCATATATGGACATTTCCTTCACTATTCTAGCAACTTTTCTGTACACTTGAAATGTTTCAAAATAAAAAGTGGAAGGAGGAGTATATGTTTATTGCAAATTTCTTTTCTTCTTGTTAAGATCTAGTCCTACTCTAAAATCCTAACACCAAGCTGATGTGTATATGTATTTTCTAGTAGGTATTTTTTTTAAGACTGATGTAAGTTGTTGTGTGTTTTCACTATAAACATGGTTAGACTTTTCTCTTCAGCTTTTCAACTTCTGAGTGAAAGACTTACATCCTTTAGGAACCATTTGCTCTTAGGCTGGTTGCTGGCCAAATGAGGTGTTCATTGTTTTATGATGACCGCACTTACTGAATGTGCTTCTTCTCCTGGGTCACCATCTGCTCATGCTGTGCTCTCTTCCTGCCTGCTCCCCAGAGATAAGGGGCAACCCCCACCTGCTGATCAAGTACCACAGTGGGTTCTTCGTGGACGGGAAGTTCCTGTGCTGCCAGCAGAGCTGCAAAGCGGCCCCAGGATGTGCTCTCTGGGAAGCATGTAACGTGACTCCCCTGCTGGGCTGGGCCCTGGGTGGACAACGCCCTTTAGGCAAAACTGGCAAATGCCGAACAGCTTGCCAGTTCGGGAAACGAAATGTGCCAGATTGGTTGGCATCGTGCATACTCAGCCTTGAACATGCTATCCGACAAATCAAACATAATTCCAGAGTCAACTGAGTCATGTTCCATAAAATAATAACAACACGAACATCTGCCATTCATTCATGTCATGAGAAATGTTTTTAAAGGGAAATCATAAATCAAGAAAGGAGCTGTTTATTTCCTTCCAAAATTCTTCCTGGTTTAAGATAAACTCCAAAAGAGGAGAATGTAGTGAACATACATCATCATGGTTCATAAACTAAAAACACCAACATTCTTTCAAAAAATATGTCAAAGGATAAAATATAAGTATTGCCATGAATACCAAAATGATGGATGGCCAAGTTTTCAAAGATAAATTTAAAATGATTTGCCATTCTGTATATGTTTGTTGATTTCCTCATAACAACAGAGAAGGTAGTGTAGGGTTTGCTTTATGTGCAGATTCTATCCAGAGTTATATTTCTAGGGAAATCTGTCTGTCTGAGACTTTATCCAGGGACAGGAAGCCCACTGAGTGGCTTTGAAGGCCTAATGGAGGGAAAGAATTATGCTGTTTTCTGCTCGTGCCCTGTGGAGTCCCATTCTATCACCAGGATACTTACATGAAACAATCATATATTTTAGAAGTTTATCATCGTTTAACAACATTAAGTTGTTGATAAATAAAAAGGAGAACTTGTTTTGGTAACAGTTTTACCAACCTGGACAAAATATGCTTGGATTATAACTACTTTAAAGAATTACATGAGATCAGCTGCATGATAACAACTTTAAGAACTGTAGAACAAACAGGAACATGAAATAGTATTCAAATTCACTGAGAATCCTTGTAATTTTACAGCAAAATCAATGATTAAATATTCATTGTGTTTCCCATCTCAATGAAACTACACAATGAATATTTACTGATCTTAATTAGATCATATTTCCCTTTATACTCATGAATGATAATGACTCAATGATCTTTACAGAATGTACTGTGCATGGATCTTCCCTCCAGTGTGAAGGCCAGAGAGTAATGTTTCCTTGTAACATCAATCATTAACCCCAGTGTTTCTGTCTGTGGTCGGCATTATTACTCAGCAGGCCAGATTCCAGCTCTGACCTCACCCTAACTCCCTGAGAAACAGCAAGAAAACAGGCTAGAGAGAGCACTGCCCTGGGATCATCTTCCTGGCCTCTGTCTGCATGGCACCTGCCACGTGTCCTGGGTGCCACAGGCTCTCTGCCGGCTTCTGAAGAAAACCACAGAATTTAGTAGAGGTGTTAGGCTCACAGGCGGTTGTGATATTGTCTGTCTGCCTAAGTGTAATTTACTCCCTCAACCTCCTCCTCTGTGAGCTACAGGGCACCCCACAGGCACATCTACGAGGAAGGAAACAGTTGGGCATCTTTCCAGAGTACATGGCCTAAACTGAGTTGAACATACACTCCAGTTTGTTTGAGACAGTCTCATTCTTCAGCTGGGGACCTGTCATAATTATTAAAAGCCTACCTATCACTGTCAGAAATGTCCCAGCTGGGTCAATAAACCATACGGCAACCCCACTTAAAAGGCATATACTGGTTTCACACTCACAGCCTGGATATCTATCTACATGTGTGAGTAGAAATAAAAACCAACAATTATTCTAAGAACAGGGAGAGGAAAAAGTTGAGGATAGATTTGTTCACTTGTAAATCAGCTATTTATATGCATTGTGTATGAGCTAATCAAAGAAGAATCAGACACGGATTCTGAATCCTAGGGTCACTGACACTACCCAATGAGATTAGATATCTATTATTCAAATACCAGGTGGCAATGTGGTATAAATTATCAGCTTATAGAATTTAGAGCAACTTGAATTTCTTATCTGCTTGGGAAGATACTGATAATCAATGGTGAAGTGGTATTTGAGTTGGATATCATACAGGAGAGCAACATAATCACTCCAGATGTATCTAAGTCCATGTAATCTGGAATATTGCTCACACTAACTAGTTCACTTTTTTGATTCATAACATTGGGTGTTTTATTTTGTTTTATTTAAATTTCCTTCTGATATTACTTGGTTTTACTCTTCAGATGCTGATCTGCACACTGCACCCAAAGAAGAAAAACACATGGTTCCCATCTTCCCAGACAGAGTGGTAAGTCAACATTTCAGGTTTTTTTCACAGTCAGGATATAGTAAATAAACCGAGAGTTGCCAAATTCAAGGCTAGAATACATGGGCTTCATTCAGAATGCCCAGCAAGAGAGAGATGTGAGCTATTGCCAATAGCCATGGCAGTAGCAAATAATAAATTCAAACACAGAACCATTTTATCATGTTCTATTTTTCATTTGATAACCAAGCCTTTTTTCTAACCTATAAACGCAAAAAAAAAAAAAAATGGTGTAGACGGAGAAGCCCTTAAGATGGTATGACATAGAACAGCAGCTCCTATTGGCTGGCATTCCTCTTCTGCCACCAGCATGGCTAAGCCTGCCTCATTAAGTGCCCGGGGGAGGAATGGGACACCACAGGACACAAGCTGAGTAAAATTCTTTCCCCCCATTATCTTTTCAAAGCCACGCAGTGTGCTTTCTTCTCTGTTCCTGGATGGAATCTGGAGATTCCATAGTCTTCCAGTCACCTCAGATGAAATAAATTTTCCCAATTACTAATAGTCATGAGAACAGCCTCTAAAGTGATCCATCCAATATTATAATCATATGACTCCAAACACCATTTCAAGTTAAAACTTACCCCCTTCCCTTAGCTCAACTCTGCATCAGAGGGCAGCCTGCTTTGGGAAAGAGGTCATGGAGAGGCTAAGATTTCTGACCTTTTCAGGATCGAGGATCAGGAAGAGAAGGTCTAATGAAAAAGAGAGTCATATGTGGCGGGCCCCATCATGATTTGGTAGTGGTGGCTTCTGGGTGAGACAGTTTTCTAACACTGACTCTTTATCATATGGGAGACTTTCATGGGTCTCTCCTTGGGGTGTAGTTTTATGACAGAGCAAATATCTTGACCTTAGCTCTTCGGTTTCTACCCCTCCAACTTTTTACTGGGTCCATTCACTCATTTTGAGCAGAGTTCCTTTCAAGATGGCTTCCAGCGAACCCTCTCTCAAGGGTGGAGTTGGCCTAGAGGAAAATAAACAGAGCCTTGATCTCTCTGTGTAGTAAAACTGTATGTGGCTCAAGTTCACAGTACAGGCTACCCTTCTGCTCTGCTTTCTTTGGTTCAAAGCCATAACTTCCTGCTTTGAGGCTTCCCAGGTACGTGTCAGCCTCCTCAAATGCCACGAGACATATAACATGGGCTCCCAGTAGTTTTCTGGAAGCTCACCTGAAATGAAGGGAGCATTTCCATCCACCCATCAGCTCTGTGGTGGCTTGGGTACTTATTTTCACCTACACACATTCATGCATACTTACTTCTCTCTTTCTATCTAAAGTAAAAACCATATAATTTTTACAGACATCCCTAGTGGTCCAGTGGTTAAAACTCTACATTTCTATTCCAGGGGTCATGGGTTACATCCCTGGTCAGGGAACTACATACTGTGGAGCACAGCCAAAACAAAACGACATATAATTTTTGTAAACCAACATGAAAGACAAAACTAAATCCATTATTGTCACAGGTTGAATTTTGTCTCCCCAAATTCACGTCCACCCAAAACCTCAGAATATGACCTTATTTGGAAAGAGGGTCTTTGAGATATAATTAGTTAAGGACCAAGATGAGATCCTGGATTAGGATAGATCATAAATTCAATTATTGATGTCCCTATAAGAATAGGAGGGAACACAGAGAGATATACAGAGAAGGTAGCCACTTAAAGACCTAAGCAGATATTGGACTTTTGATGCCACAAGCCAAGAATGCTTAGACCCAACAGAAGCTGGAAGAGGCAAGCAAAGATCCTCCCCCACAGCCTTTAGATGAAAACTTGTTTTTGGACTTTTGATCTCCAGAACTGTAAGAGGATATATTTCTGTTGTTTTAAACCACTGAATGTATAGAAATGTTATGGCAGTCCTAGGAAATTGATAGAATTATTAAGGTTTGGGGATTTTATGTTGTTATCAGTGACATTTTTTTTTTTGGTTTGGATACATGCTTCAGTTCTGAAGCTTGAAAATTATGGCTCTGTAAAACACCTAAAAGCAAAGTCCAAAATAAGCAAAGATCAACTGGTGGTTACCTAGGGTCAGGATGGGGATTGACTAGAAATTGGCCCAAGAGATCTTATAGGAGTAATGGAAAATGGTAAAACTGGATGGTGGTGATGATTGCTCAACTTGATAAATTTACTAAAAGTCACTGAATCCTATTCTTACAAAGGGTGAATACCACAAAGGGTGGTATGTGGTATATAAATTGTGCTCCAGTATAGTTTATTTTAAACAAATCTAAGAGCAGGACTTCCCTGGTGGCTCAGATAGTAAAGTGTCTGCCTACAACACGGGACACCTGGGTTCAATCCCTGGGTTGGGAAGATCACCTGGAGAAGGAAATGGCAACCCACTCCATATTCTTTGCCTGGAAAATCCCATGGACAGAGGAGCCTGTTAGGCTACAGCCCATGGGGTTGCAAAGAGTCGGACATGACTGAGCGACTTCACTTTCACAAGAGCAGAGGAAAATTTAGGAGCCCAAACGAGGCATCTAGTCTCTCATGAGGAATTCTTTGTGAAATGTGTTGAAAATGATCAGTTGGGCAAATCAGTGACCAAGGGTTCCCAAGTCTGTTTTGATTATAAGCTGCCCTAAGTGATCAGGGATCATAGAGGATACTGTGAAAAGCATGTTTTCCTCTGCTTGTTTTCACCAGATCATTCAGTAGAGGACTTGTTTTACTGAGCTGAGGAAAATTAAAATCTGCTCTCTAGTCATTCTGTTTAGATTTCTGTTTAGGGAAATTTCTACTGCATTCATCTTTGGAAAGAAGCACCTCACAGCTCATAAATAGCATAGCTAAAATGTCTAGGATGTCAATCCCTGGAAAAAAGTAAAATATGTGAAAAAATTAAATTCAGATTATATATCTATATGAATTTTTAATGAACTATATATAACATGCACTTAGACAAGTATACAAGTCCTAAGTGGACAACTTCATGAATTTTCACAAACCAAACATATCTGTATAACCCACACTCAGATTAAGAAACAGAACATCTCAGAACCCCAGGACCACCCTCATCTTCCCTTTGGGTCACTACATCCCACCAAAAGTAATCACTAGGCTTACATATAATATCATAGATTATTTGCCAAGCTTTGATCTTTACATAGATGGAATTTAAAGTATATAGTTGTTTATTGCCTATTTTCTCATGAGATTCACTCATAGTTTAGTATGTGGTTGCAGTTTATCCTCAATTGCTATACAGAATTCCACTGTGTGAATATAATGCTGTATAAGTTTCTTATTGCTTCTGTAACAAATTACCACAAATTGAGTGGCTTAAAGCAACACAAAGTTCTTCTCTCATAGTTCTAAAGTCAGAGGTCTCGCACCAGGTCTATACAGTTGTATTCCTTTAGGAGGCTTTATGGAAAATCCATTTACTTACTTTTTCTAGTTTCTGGGGGCTGCCTACATTCCCTGGCTCCTGGCCCCTTTTTCCATTGGTAGCATCTGCTTTCCTCTCTGCTTTGTTTCCATCTTTATACCTGCTCCCTAATCTCTGACCTTCTTGCATCTCACTTGTGCCCTTGTGATTATATCTGGCTCATCCCAGTAATACAGGATAATCACCCCATTTCAAGATCCTTAACTTGGTCATATCTGCAAAGTATGTTTTACTATGCAAGGTGACATACACACAGGTTTCAGGGACTGGGACATAAACATCTTTGGGGAAAGGGCATGATTTAGCCGACTATAGCCACAATAAGGTTATTATTATTGGGCATTTAGGTCATTTCCAGTTTTTACCTAATTGAAATAATTCTGCTATGGAACATTCTTTTATATGTTTTTTAGTTTCACTATTGGGCATATATATTGACTTTCTGGGTCCTAGGATATGTGCAAACAACTTTCCAGTGTGGTCATGCACTTCATACTCCAACCAAGAAAGTATGAGAGTTCCAATTGCTCCATGTCTTGTGACTAAAACTAGTTACTGCCCCCTTTCTTTCCTTCCTATTTTTTTAATTTAAGAGCTGATATACTTTGATTGTTAGTTCCCAGCTCATGAATCTGTGCCTCACTGTGATGTACTTGAATCTCTTGTCCTCCAAAGCTGAAGATTCCTAGAGCAGTTCCTATTCTCAAAGTAGATGAACCATCTTCAAGTACCACTCTAGCCCAGTATGACAGTGATTCCAAGAAAAACTATGGCTCCCAGTCAAACATCAACATGAAGTATATTCCAAAAGACGACTTCCCTGACTGGTGGCAAGTAAGAAAACTGAAGAGGTAAGTCCCAGCTTTCAGTCCCGCGGCACAGCGTGTCAAGTAGACATCACCGCACTGCCTCGGAGCTGAGCCCCGGCACGGTCTGCACAGGCTATAGCTGAGACAGGGCTGCCCTCTCAGAAAAGACTCAGTGTCTGAGCCAGAAGCCCAGGGTGGTGGTGGCCCCACTGGGACTCAGCACCACAGACTTGCCATTCAAATGACTGCGTCTAATGATGTGCACAACACTTAAGCACTTTATTCCCTTTCCTTTCTTTCCTTCTTCCTCCAAATAACCCCACATTCCCGAACACCGAATCTTTAAAATATACTCTTTATCTGAGAGAGCTTAGAGTGGGTAGGTTTTTGCAACGTGCTTTGGCATCACTGGCTAATGACGGTATTCAAACGAGGCCGTGGCTGCCTTCTCAGGATGTACACCTTCACCTACAGTCTTCTTTGCCACTTGCACTTTTCACTTCACATCTGGGACATTTTTCCTATTTGAAGATATGAGGATATACTACATTTTTAATTTTTTAATGCTTTGGCTGTGGTAAAACAGCACAAAATTTACCACCTTCATCATTTTGCAGTGTAGAGTTCAGTAGTGTTCATTATATTCCCATTGTTGTGTAAGCTACCTGATTATTGTGAATGTCTATATTGTATTCCATCATGTGGATAAACCTAAGTGATGCACAACTGATGGACACTCTCCACATGTTCTTAAAAACTACAAAGAGGCTAAATAAACTGCTTGGTATTTTTAAATAAGAGCTTTCTTATGAAGAGCTGAAGGGGAAAAGCTTTACTAGTGAGCAAGGCTCTTTGGGAAGCTGGGGCTTTCCAGGCTTTCCTTGAACTGCAGCCAGAGGAGCACTTCTTTGTTAAGGAAGCTTGTCACTCTGAAGTATGGTTTTGAAAAAGAGCCTGGGTTATGAAGGCAAACAGGAAATAGGTCCTACCTTCCAACTAAAACAGCCTTTGGACTTGGAGAAGTTGGCACTTCCTCATGGGCTGCTTCACACACCAAGTAAAAGAGATAAAATGATGGGTGGAGAGGATGAAGAGAACCCTGCAGATCTGTGTGTGTCTACATGGAGTTAAAAGGTTCAGTATTTTCAGGACTTTCCTTTGCAAGCATAACAGCAAAGAGGAAAATAACTTATATTAAAATATATTAATGACAGAATGCTTGCACACATACAAGAAAATCAGAGCAAACCAAGTCAGGATGATTTATTAATCCAAGTTTTCTATTGTTTGGGGTTATTATGAGCCATTATTAAAAACTCACTTCTTTTAGGCATCCTATCAAGTGACTGCTTTTTAGTGGGGTCACTCCAAGGATGAAAATGTGAAAATGACTCATTAGCTTCAATTTCCAAACCAAGTGACATATATGGGTCACAATATTAAATAAAGCTAAAACATATCCAAACAATTACTTGTGTCATTTAACATTTATAAATAAATATCAATTTATGAACTGTATCTCTCTTTTTTGTAGCAGTGAAGATTTGGCATGCAGTAATCAAAGGGAAAGAAATGTGGTAAATCACAACACCTCAAAGATGTCATGGTAAATCAACTTCAGATATTGTCACAGCCAGGATTTCTTTCATTTGCAGGAAAACTTAACCACAGGTGTAAAAATTTTGCAACTAGCCTTTAATTTTAAGGTGACTATAAAACAAACAAATACATGGAGTTTGCTTCTCTGAACCCTGAAAGTGGTCTGAATGGATAACTTCTGAGATCACACTGATATTTCCTACCCATCATACATGATATACACAGGTGTCAGCATGAACATGAAGCTACCTGGCTCAGGCATGTGAGCCGGAGGGAAAACAATGTAGTGTTGAGTAACTCTTCTTTGAGAATACCTCTATACACTACCCAAGATTTTCTCTAACTTCATATCACAGCTGTCCCTGAAGCATTTCATCTATTTCATGAGTCTGCTCTTCTGACAGAGTCAAAGAAATCTACATTCCTGGGATCCTCCTGTATCAAGGAGTCAATCTCTCATGAGACCAGGCATGAGCTCAACTTGTGAGCAACCTTCTCTTCACTTTGCTGACCCCTTCCCAAGTGCAGTAAGGGAAATCTAACAGTGCAGATTTTATTTATGTGGGTAAAAGCAGGGTGGGATTTGACATGGCACTGTGAGGCGCTTGGATTATTTCTTGGTGTTATGTGCGTGTGTGTGTGTATTAATCATGTTTCCTCTCTTCTTAAGGGGCTCCCCTGAGTCAAGTTCATCTGAAGAAGAGGAAAACCTTGATGATTATGAGTAAGTTTTGAGAGTCCTCTGTGTTCCTCTAAAACTAGACATAGATGTTTCTATTCTATTCTTCTGCAAAGACTGTATTTACATGGAGAAACTCCTGTGAAGTTCTGGGCCATGAAACTGGAGGATGGGTGACAATAAACTAATGAAAATGTTGTTCAGTTGCTAAGTCGTGTCCTACTCTTTGCGACCCCATGCACTGCAGCATGCCAGGATCCCCTGTCCTTCACTATCTCCTTCACTATCTCCATGCTCAAACTCATCTCCATTGAGTCAGTGATGCCTTCCAACCACGTTATCCTCTGCCATCCCCTTTTACTTTTGCCTTCAAATTTTTCCCAGCATCAGGGTCTTTTCCAGTGAGTTGGCTCTTCACATCAGGTGGCCAAAGTATTGGAGTTTCAGCTTCAGCATCAGTCCCTCCAATGAATATTCAGGGTTAATTTCCTTTAGGATCAACTGGTTTTGATCTCCTTGCCATCCAAGGGACTCTAAAGAGTCTTCTCCAGCACCACAATTCAAAAGCATCAATTCTTTGGCATTCAGCCTTCTTTAGGGTCCAACTCTCACATCACATCACACGATAGTAGTCGTGTACAAATTACTGGAAAAACCACAGCTTTGACTAGACAGACCTTTGTAGGCAAAGTGATACCTTTGCTTTTTAATACACTGTCTAGGTTTGTCATAGCTTTTCTTCCAAGGAGCAAGCATCTTTTAATTTAATGGCTGCAGTTACTGTCAGCAGTGATTTTGGAGCCCAAGAAAATAAAATCGGTCACTGCTTCCACTTTGCCCCCTTCTACTTGTCATGAAGTGATGGAACCAGATGCCATGATCTTAGTGTTCTGAATGTTCAGTTTTAAGCCAGCTTTTTCACTCCCCTCTATCATCCTCATCAATATACTTCCCCCCAATCTAGATGATCTAAATTGGCTGCGCAAATTCTTGGGATTTATTGCATAGCTGACCCCCGTCCATTCATTTTGCTTTGTCTTCATAGGTACAGCCTATGACATTTCTGCTGATTATTTCTTTCCTGGAGGCCCTCATCAGGATTATTTTTGAAGGCTCTTATTAGCTTTGAGTCCAATTTTGAAGTTAGTTATGATGCAGTAATTTTACATGGTAGCACAACTGAGCCTTGAATATCAGAGCATTTTTATGTTGGGAGATTCCTATTTCGAGGGTGACCTTATCATTGAACATCCAAACTAGGATACTTTAGGAAGAGGAAGAATGCACTGTTCAGTGTTACACCTGGACATAAGACAAAGACATAGGACCATAGAGACATAAAGTGGACTCCTCTGGGCAAGTAAGAATGTGTGATCACCTCAATTACACAGAGACAGAGTGGTCTTAAGTGGCTGTTAAGGTCCTTTCCAAAATTTAAGATTCTATCATTGGACAACAATTAGGCACAAATAATCATCTCCTGGACTTAGCTGTAGTGTACCTGCTCAATCCTGTCCGACTCTTTGTGAGCCCATGGACTTAGCCTGCCAAGCTCCTCTGTCCATGGGATTTCCCAGGGAAGAATACTGGAGTGGGTTGCCATTCCTTTCTCCAGGGGATCGTCTCGACCTGGGGACCAGGTCTTCCACACATCAGGCAGACTCTTTGCCATCTGAGCCACCGGGGACTTAGAGGCTGGCATTAAGGAGAGGTGGGAGTAGTAAGGCAGACTGCATCTCTCAGACACCTGCTGCCTGACAGTGGCTAAGTCAGTGGGACACTAGGAGAAAACATACTACTAGCTTTGTTTTTGTATGAGTTCTGTTATTGATTCATTGGCTACAAGTGTAGTGAGAGCTTTTTCAAAGAACATGTCACCACCTCTACTTCCCCTACATTTACCCTCCAGAAGGCACCTGATGGAATCATTCAAACTAAGATAAAAATGACTGAGAAAGACTAGCACAAAAATTATCCAAAGATAATTGCACTTTAACAATTGACAAAGATTTAAACCAATGGGAGTGAACCTCTCATCATGGGTTTTAGTCTTTAGTATTTAGATGAATTGGAAGGCTTCCTTTGATTCAGAAAGCCCAGCTGTGACCATACAGACAGTCTCTGTCTCCATCATTTCTAGATTCCAAAGAGGGGTGAGAGGTGTGCCTTGGGGAAACAATCAGGAAAGATATGTAGGCCCCACCCCCAGAATCACAACTGGGTGGCAGAGACTCAGGAATCTGAATTTTTTAAATAGCTCTTCAAGTGATTCACTTCAGCAGCCAAGTTTGGAAACCCCTGATCTAAGCCAATGCCTCATTTTTTAGATGAGAAAGTTAAGTGACAAGTTATGCAATTAAAAACTATTCATTCTCAAAATGGAATTCTTTTCTATTGCAGCTGGTTTGCAGGTAACATCTCCAGGTCACAATCAGAGCAGTTACTGAGACAAAAGGTAAGTAGTTTCATCTTTAAAATAGCCTCTAAAGAATGTCTTTCTGTTGTTGGGCTCAGAGGGTAATGCACTGCTCACAGAAACCCTATTGTTTGGATACAGTCCAGACATCATAGTGTTAATTGTTCAGCTTATGGGTTACCAGGCCCTTCACATCTAGCCTTCCTCTATTCCCTTTGCTCTATAATAAACCATTCAAAAATTTAGTGGCTGGAAACAAGATGTATGATTCCTCACCATTCTGTGAGGCAGCTGGGCCAGCAGTTTTTCTGCAGGTTTTGCTTAGGTTCACTCATGTAGCTGCCTTTAGCTTGTGGATTGACTAAGAGTGGGGTTAGCAGGGGTAGTCAACCAGGGTGGGTGCCATGTTCCATCTCCATGTGGCTAACGCGGGCTTCCTCACAGCATGGTGATCTCAAGGCAGTGGTTGAAGAGACCAAGCCTCACAGTTCGGGGCAAGTAATTATGGAGTCTCAGCTTTTGTCCCACTGGCCAAAGCAAATCACATGGCCCCGCCCAGAGTCAATGTGGGAGGGGACTGCCCGGAGCAGGAATATACAAAGAGAAGACTTACTGGGGGCCATCTGTACCTCATACTTCAATTCTGTCACAAAAACCATTAGCACCTAAACCAGAGTACAGCAGCTGTAATGGGGAGTAAATCTATCAGATTTTGTTACTAGCTGGTAATGGACTTACCAATGGCAAACTCTTTTGACCTACAAAAATGACACTTTGCTATAGTTCAACCTAATACAGCACACCAACTGTTTCTTTGAGGGGTAATAGCGAGAAGGTGGTGACCACTATCTAGCTCAGTATTTTTTCACATTCACAGTTTTAAAATCCACTTTGTCTCAATCTAAACTTGCTTAAAATCAGCACATTAAGCAAGGCAAGTTGAGCATAAATTTAACAAATGATTTGTTCTGCATCCTTGGTTTTCTAAAATGTTCCAGGGGCATGATATGGTGATAGAAGTGTTAGCCGCTCAGTCATGTCTTACTCTTTGTGACCCCATGGTCTATCCATGGAATTCTCCAGACAAGAATACTGGAGTGGGTTGCCATTTCCTTCTCCAGGGGATCTTCCTAACCCAGGGATCAAACTCAGATCTCCTGCATTGCAAGCAGAATCTTTGCCATCTGGATAGCTGGCTTTAAATTTTACTTCCGAAAGATAAAAATGTTAGGCTTGCACAAACACCAAACAGGGAAAAGTATCACAGGTTACAAATTAACTGGAGAGGAAGAGTTGAGGCACATTAGGTAAATCTATAAAGACAATGAATGAGAGAAAGAGGGAAGCTAAAGTGGGAGTTCTTTCTGTGCCAACTGATGGGCAATCTGTGCTGTCAATGACATTTAAAGTGGATCTAAAAGATCTATTTTCCTACCACCTACCAGCACAAGTCATTTTCAAGAATAATGAAAATGTTTTCTGTCCCTTCCACATTTGCCTTTCTATTTAGGGGAAAGAAGGAGCATTTATGGTTAGAAACTCCAGCCAGGCGGGAATGTACACAGTGTCCTTGTTTAGTAAGGCTATGAAGTAAGTACGATGTGAATTTCTTTTTTTATCTTCTTGTTTATGTTCTTTGAATATCCTGGTCATTCGGTCACATTTTGCGATAAGACCCTATCTTTCAACTCTGGAATTTGGAATCAAAGTATTTCTGTTGAATGTGACCATTTGTAGTTACATTCCCCCACCCCCACTACTTTCAAGAGGCTATTTTCTGGGTGATTCGCTCCTACCCATTGCAGGCAGCAGAGTATTGCCCAGTATACGGACTGCCTCAGGAATTGCTTATTAAAGGAATACTGCATTATTCCCCCTTGATTCATCCTGAGCCTAGAAAGAGAAAAAATAGCAATGGCACCTCTACACTCTTGGTTCTAGCCACCAGCTGAACTGAGAAACCTACCCCAACGTCTGGTTTTTAGTGTCTTTCCAGTGGGAGCAGGAGGTTGATTGAGTGTAGCAGTGTTTTCACCAATGGCTTCTTTCTAGGATACTGTCCTATTGGTGGGGTTAAGAGTTCTGGTGTGAAACTGCACCTCTGAGTCCAAATCCTGACTCTGCCATTCCAAAACATTATGACTTTAAGCAAGTTCCTTAATTTCTGTGCCTCAACTTCCTCATTTGAAAAGTGGACATAATAACAATTACTATGTTCTATGGATGTAATGGGTTAATTCACAAATTGGATCAGAACAGTGCCTGGCACATAGTAATAAGTGTTTACTATTATTGTTGTTGTTTGGAAAAAGTAATATGAGCTACCCCACTACTTCCATCCCAACACTTAGGTGTATATAAGGCCCCCACAGTCATCTCAAGCAAGTTGTCATCAACAATATCAGGATCCCCCTCCAGAGTTTTATAAGCCACTTTCCCATTGGTTGTTAGCCTTTCTGTTCCTTCTAAACATCCTGTGAAGCAAACAGGAAAGCTGTTTTTCTTGCACCATTTTACATGAGAGGATTGTGGTTCAAACAGAGCTTACAAAGATCCACCATCAAAACTAATAAATGACCGACTTGAAGCCAGACCTTCAACAGCTGAGTTCATGTTCATGTTCTCTCAACCATATCCCTGTGTCTTCGCTGAAATCTGGTCAGATCTTGATTAGGACCATTTGAAAAAAAAAATCTCTACGTATGTGACCCTTTCTTAAGGGTTGGATTGAATGACCTTGAATGATTGAAGGGGCTTGGTGGTTTCTCAATATGCTCTGTTTCATGTTGCATATATGTATTTTTAAAATAATTAATGTAAAAGTTATTTTATTTCGGGAATGCTTTCACAGAGTGCCTACCTCCAGTTTGAGATAACAGCATGTACCATAAACATCCGCATGGCATCTTTCAATGCTAGAAGCCACATTCTTGGTGCACCTCATGTACAAAGTTGCAAATGTGGGTGGTGACTAAAGCCAACCCAGTAAGAAGGCGGAGAAGGCTTGGATCACTGAATATCAAAATCTCTGTGGCCCTCAGGCCCTCCAGTTTCAGCCAAATCTGATGTCAGAAGTCCTTTTAGTTAAGCTTCTTGACACCAGATTCACTTTTGAAGGTGGCCAGGGAGAAAAAAGTCAGCAAACAGATGAGGAATCAAATGAAAAGAATCCCAGTGAATGACTACAGAAGGCTTCTTTTATGAAACATCATCAGTGGGCTGAATTTGATTCTAAGACCAAGAGCCGATGAGCCATTTGCAACAAAAAAAGCATCCTTTCTCTTTCTATAATTACAATTCTAGTAAGGGTGGCATTATAGCAACAAGAATATATTAATAATTTCTAATGTGCCAAGTATAGTGCAAACTGATATGTACATAATCTCATCTGAACTTTGTAACAACTGGATGAGGTAGCTAGCCAGCAACAGAACTCTACTCAAAACCCAGTTCTGGACTGCTCTGTGAGTGTGTGTGTGTGTGTGTGTGTGTGTGTGTGTGTGCACACGTGCTTAGTCGCTCAGTCATGTCCAACTGTTTGCAACTCCATGGACTGTAGCCTGCCAGACTCCTTTGTTCATGGGATTCTTCAGAATACTGGAGTGGTAGCTATTCCTTTCTCCAGGGGATGTTCTCAACCCAGGGATTGAACCCTTGTCTCCTGCATCTCCCGCATTGCAGGCGGATTCTTTACTGCCTGAGAAACCAGGGAAGCCTGGAATGCCATGCCATACTCTAAAATCTAAGACAGGCACATCACTGCTGGTTATCCTAAATCAACATGCATCAATTCACCACTATTTCCTACAAGTAGAGCAAAAGAAAAAGAATGTTTTATGTGGACAAGGTACAAGTTCACAAGAGGAATTAAAGGCTGTTCCCACCCACTCCATCCTGTACACTCCATTTCCAAAAGAGCCTCCACCCACAGCCTAATGACCATTTCTTCCTACATTTTAATCTCCATTATTATCCTAAAAGAGAACTGATATTTCAGAATAATGATCCTAAAAACTGCAGGGCTCTCAATCATCAAAGGAATATGGCTGCTTTATACTTACTAAGGGAAGAACAGTACAGAAAGGGGCAATCTTATGATAGGTGAATTCTGTATGAGCACAAAGGATCCGCTGAGCTCAGAGAGGAGCTCTCTTACATAATTATGGACTGTCATGTAACCTCCAGAAAAAACACCGGATGTCGAGACTGAGAAACTGTCTCTGACTTCCCTCTTCAAAATCTGCTAATGTACCTAAGATAATGATTTAATCATTATTTAATCAAGCTTCAGTTGTTGATTCAAAACATTCTAACATTCTTTCTTCCTTACTAGTGATAAAAAAGGAACTGTCAAACATTACCATGTGCATACAAATGCTGAAAACAAATTGTACCTGGCAGAAAACTACTGTTTTGATTCCATTCCAAAGCTTATTCACTATCATCAACACAATTCAGCAGGTAACTTGGTTCAGTTTTTCTTTTATGTTGATAAATAGAAATTTTCTTGGACATTACTGACCCTCCAAATTCTCTTTTTTAACACTGAAGAATAGTTGATTTACAGTGTTTCAGGCGTACAGCAAAGTGATTCAGTTATATATATATAAATATATATGTATATTCTTTTTCAGATTCTTCCCATTTTAGGTTATTATACGATACTGAATATAGTTCTCTGCTATACAGTAGGACCTTGTTTGTTTTACATGTAGTAGTGTGTATCTGCTAAACTCCAACTCCTAATTTACCCCTCCCACTCCCCCAATACTCTCAACTATATAAGGAACCGAAAGTAGGGAAAAAACGCTCCCAAGCCCTATGCCTGCTGTGTGGGGTTGTGTGTGTGTGTATTCACTGATTTGGGGTGTGCCGGGTCTTTGTTGCCGCACTGGCTTTCTCTAGTTGCAGTCAGTAGCGGCTGCTCTCTAGTTGCAGTGCGTGGGCTGCTCAATGCAGTGACTTCCCTTGTGGAGCGTGGGCTCTAGGGTGTACGGGCTTCAGCAGTTGTGGCTCCTGGGCTCCAGAGCACAGGCTTAATAATTGTGGGGCACAGGCTTAGTTGCTCTGCGACATGTGGGATCCTCCTGGATCAGGGATCAAACTCGTGTCTCCAGCACTGACAGGCGGATTCTTTACCACTGAGCCACCAGGGAAGCCCTGCTGTGTGGTTTTTAACCTACATTTCCTGGAATATAACATTATACACTCTACAATGCCAGAAAAAAACAAAGCTGAGTCAGTTCGGAGACTTAGAAGTAGAGATTCCCTTTTAAAATATTTGCAGGGTTTTTTTCTGCCTATAGAAAATGATTGCAAAATTCAAATAATATATAAATGTGCATCACATAACCTGCATGAACAAGTCAGTGTCTATTCTGAAGGAATTTTTTTTCTACGTTGATACTAACACATTCATCATATATGTATATATATTACATATGTGTGTATGTATACACATTATATGTTTACAGAGATGAGATCATTCTACACATACTACTTTTCAGCTTACTTTCTTTACTCAGCACCTTAGAGGTTTTTCCATGCACATGCATATAGTTGAGTCTGTTATGTTAAAAGAGAATTCTAGTGTAGAATTACTCCATAATTTTTCACCTAATCCTACACTGATAAGCAGTTGGAGTATATACAATATTTTCCCATAATACTGGCTGTTGCAGTAAATATAGCTTTGTGCACCTGTATGGGTGTTTCTGTAGCCAAAATCCCTAAAAGAATTTGAGATAATGGTTAAGAACATTTAAAATTGAGGTACTGTCAAATGCTTTTCAGAAATGTACACTCCCGCCAAGAGCAACACTTCATTCTCACTGACCCTGGGTACTATCACTCTTCTTAATTTTGCCTGATTGACTGCTGAAATATATATATAGAAATTGCCATATGATTCAGGAATTCCATTCCTGGGTATATATAAAAAGAAAATAAAAACATTCACTTGAAAAGATATATGAACCCCATGTTCATAGACATATTATTTACAATAGCCGAGATATGGAAGCAACCTAAGTTCCATCAACAGATGAATGGATAAAGAAGATGTGGTACATATATACAACGGAACATTACTCAGTCATAAAAAGAGTCAAATTCTATCATTTGCAACAAGTCGGTGGACCAGAGGTTTATGTTCAGTGAAATGTCATACAAAGAAAGACAAATACTTTGTTATCACATACGTGGAATCTAAAAAATAAAACAAATGTATGAATACTCAGAGATATAGAGAACAAACTAGTGGTTACTGGGGGAGAGAGAGGGAAGGGGCAAGACAGGTAGGGGATTAAGTGATACAAACTACTATGTATAAAATAAATAAGTTATAAGGATATATTACACAGCACAGGGAAATATAGCCATTATTTTCTAATACCCTTAAATGGAGTATAATCTATAAAAATATTGAATCACTAGGCTGTACACCAAAAACTAATGTAGTACTGTAAATCCACTGTACTTCAATTTAAAATATAGTTGATGGCCAGCTAATAACACAATAATCAAAAAGGAAAAAAGTCAGCAAAATAAAAATGGTAAAAATTTTAAAACAGATTCCATCAAGAAACTAATTTTGATGAGATTTTTGAAAATCACATAAAGTAGTTTTACACTTTTAATTTTTGCTTTATATAGAACTAACTAGTCAAGTCCAGCAAATTAATTTTACAGGACGAATATGGTCAGAATAGATTCTCTTTCTGCATGAGAACATCCTGAACTCTGTGCTTTTTTTCCAGCTCCTCTAGACAGAGCAGAAGCAGATATGTGAACCAATGTAATGTAATGTGACGTGATACAATGTGATCATGTGATGATAATGTTGCCAATTTCATTGCAGGCATGATCACACGGCTCCGCCACCCTGTGTCGACCAAGGCCAATAAGGTTCCCATCTCTGTGTCCTTGGGAAGCGGTATGGACATGCCCTTGTGCTCTTAAACTCCTATATTTTTTGGTTTAAATATATATATCTTTATATGTATATATACATACATGTTTATATATTATATATCTGGTGGCTCAGCGGTAAAGAATCCTTACTATGCTTAGTACCCTTAGCCTGGTAAAATAACATTACATTTTCTTATAAAACAAATTAAACTCTGATCCGGGAGACTGTCGTTATCCTAAGCACACAAGGTCGCAAGCTAGGCCATGACCAGGCACAGAACCCCAGAATAAGAAAGGACAGGCAGTGGACCCATCTTTTTGGTATGCTAGGGAGATTACAAGATTAGGTTGGGAGGATACAAAAGATTTTAGTTTGTTCAAGAAAATGAATGAATATGTTAGAGCTGAGGCCCTCCCTGGCACTATCTGAACAGGGATCTGCTTCCTGTCTTCCTTTCTTCCCCCCAGTAAATTTACTTTCAATGACAACACCCTCCCAGATCAGACTTTAATTTCTTTTATAAGAAAATGTAATGTTATTTCACCAAGCTAAGGGCACTAGACACATCAAGTCTTTCCAACATACCTCTGGTTGGTAAAGGTTTTTTAACTCTAATCTTTCTTGTTACTAATTGTAGCTACTTCAGGAACAATACTGTTCTGGTGGCATTGTCATGTGGTTTAACAGGTCACAAGATCACATAACTAACAGTTTTCTTTTTTAAGTGAGCAACTTTTTAAAAAAGTCTGGCTGTTCTTCATGTTGTCAATATTAAATTCTCACTGCAGAGGAAGTCACTTGAGAAGCTGTTAGCCTCAAACCCTTCTATTCTTATCCTAAAGAGTGCCTGCCTTGCTTTATTAGGAATCTGGGAACTGAAACGTGAAGAGATTACCCTGTTGAAGGAGCTGGGAAGTGGCCAATTTGGAGTGGTCCATCTGGGCAAGTGGAAGGGGCAGTATGATGTTGCTGTTAAGATGATCAAGGAGGGCTCCATGTCAGAAGATGAATTCTTCCAGGAGGCCCAGACCATGATGTAAGTTTCTTCTAAGGAATTGTTGTTTAGTCCTCATCATGAGAGGACATTCATGCTAACAGGACTGTCCCTAACATCTCTAAGGTCTGAATCAAGAGTCCACATATCATAGAATATATAATGGATTATTAGCCATAAAAAATGAAAAATGTCATTTGCAGCAATATGGATAGACCTAGATATTAGCATATTAAGTGAAGACACAAAAAGGCAAATATCATATGATATCACTTATATGTGGAATCTAAAATGTGACTCAAATGAACTTACCTGTGAAAAAGAAACAGACTTACAGACATAGAGAACAGACATGTGGTTGCCAGGGGGGAGGGGAAATGGGAGGGATGGAGTGGGAATTTGGGATGCAAAATGCAAATGCAGATGCAAATTATTACATACAGAATGGATAAACAACAAGGTCCTACTGTATAGCACAGGGAACTATATTCTACATCCTGTAATAAACCATAATGGAAAAGAAAAAAAAGAATCATCCTGTTAATTGATAAAAGCAGGTCAATTACATAAGGAGTAATTGATGAACATCATAATAGCTGTGAGGACCTACTAGAAGTGCTATGTCATGCGGTTGTTGCTAGTTGCTAAGTCATGTCCGACTCCTTGGTGACCCCATGGACTGGAGCTCAGCAGACTCCTCTGTCCATGGGATTCTCCAGGCAAGAATACTGGACTGGGTTGCCATGCCCTCCTCCAGGGGATCTTCCTGACCCAGGGATGGAACCCATGTTTCCTGCTTGGCAGGCGGATCTCTTTACCACTGAGTCACCTGGGAAGCCCTTGTCATGTAGTTACTATTTTCTAAATCTATTAACAAAAAATGACACCACAATAGCTCAAAATGAAGCTTTTTTAAAAGAATGGAAAATCACAACTAATCTCACATCTCTGACAACTGTTTTCATTTTACCTTCATATTCTTTTTTTTTTTTTAATGAAATGTTTAGACATCAAAGTTAGATGCTTTAAAATGGAAGTGACGGCTCTTAGGATATAGCTTCCTCCAAATCAGTCATAGAAGTTCTCAAGACGCTACAAGACTAAGCAGGATTTCTGAGGTAATAGACAGACCATTGCTTCCCTGGATGCTGAGGTTGTCAGTGTCCAATAGCAGCCAGCATTTTTCTGCCTCCAAAGGCTAATGCTCCCAGAATCAGATCCTGAACTTTCCCCTTTCTTCTGTTCCAGTATAAGGGCAGAAATTAAAACAAACAAAAATCTGACAGTGATTCTTTTTCAGGACATCTGGAAAATGGTGTATGGAAATTCAGTATTGAACTTTGAATATCTGTTGCTTCCAGGAAACTCAACCATCCCAAGCTGGTGAAATTCTACGGAGTGTGTTCAAAGAGATACCCTATATACATAGTGACTGAATATATAACCAATGGCTGCTTACTGAGTTACCTGAAGAGTCATGGAAAAAGACTTGAACCCTCCCAGCTCTTAGAAATGTGCTATGATGTTTGTGAAGGCATGGCCTTCTTGGAGAGCCACCAATTCATACATCGGGACTTGGTAAGGAAAGAAAGCCATCTCCAGCTCCCGTCTCCAGCAATGGGGCCATTGGGAGGGACAGCAAAGACAGCATCTTCACTTACACTGCATTGGCCAAAAAATTCATTTGAGTTTTTCCATAAGATGTTACAAAAAACCCCAAATGAACTTTCTGACCAACCAATATTTTGCTCATTTGCTTAAGCACATGACACTTTTGTGATAAAAATCACAATTCAAAATAATACTTCAAGTATAGAAAGAATTTCTAAAGAAGCCACCAAGGTCTATGTAGTTAGGCTGTAGTATAATGGAAAACAGATGCAAAGGAAAGACTGGTCAATTTAGTGTTTCCCAGAACCACTTAACCCAAGCTAACCTTTGCTCCAGGAAGGATTTAGTGCTAAAGCAATAATTTAATACGATAACTGAAAATATAAGAAATGAAATGCGTGCATCTTTGAGTCAGGGTGGGTATGGAGAGTATTCTGCTTGATTTACACTGGTATTGATTGATCTTTAGAGATTTTCTGGTGCTAAACACCAAACGTGCCATGCACGCTAGGCAGGTGCATTCTGGATTCTCAGTGCTGCATTTACACCTTCTAAGCACCTGTTAACACACAGGGTCCTGGCAATGGAGAGGGAACCCATAGACGTGATTTTTCCCTTCTTGTTGATGAGTTCAGGTTCTGTGTTTTATGTCTAATACCTCTCATACTGTTTGACAAGGATGAATGCTTGAGGGAAAATACTTCTGTGAGCACATTTTCATTTTGAAAGATTGAAAATTGCAAAGGAAAAAAGACAACATCTATACTCTAGATGTTTCCTTTTAAATACAGCATTTGGGGTTGCGATATCTTAGATTTTGCTGACAACTGTCCCAAAGAGAAGGAGAATGTGTGATTTTGATGTCAGGGGATCCTTGGTCATTTTCACTATTGGTAATTTTGTTTTCCCTCTAAAGGCTGCTCGGAACTGCTTGGTAGACAGTGATCTCTCTGTGAAGGTTTCTGACTTTGGGATGACGAGGTAAGCCAGTTCCAAAAGGGCAACCAGTGAAAGAGGGATTTCCATTCACATCTAAATGGGGATACAAAACCTGCTCTGAATTGGGGGCTCAGAAACCTGGATCTCCTCACTCACACTACCTCGGAACACTCATTTCTTCACTGATAAAAATAGAATTGTTCTTCAGAAATTATCCCTAGGCTCTCTTAATTCTTTCAAAACCTTGATAAATATTTTCTAAATGTAAATAAATCCACGAAAGATCCTAAATATTCAAATATAACCGTTACAGCCAGGAAAAAAAAACAAGAAAAGTTTAAAAAGCCTTGATTTGGGGGGGGGCAGGGGAAGAGAGAGAGAGAGAGAGAGAGTGTGTGTGTGTGTGTGTTTCTGTGTGTGTATGATGGCTCCTTTAGCCCATTCTGGTTTTTTCTTAATACTATATGCTCAAATAGGCACAGCATTAACACTAGGAAAATTTTTCTTGTCTTTTATTAAATTTTCTGTAGCATCAGGTAAGGCAGTAGACTCAGATTCTCTTGGCATTCTAGCAACACTTTAGGATTTGAAAAATTAGTTTGATTGTGACAGCAGTTTAAGAAGAATCTTCCATTTCCTGAATTCTGAATCTTCTTACTATTTAAGCCTCAGAGCCAATTTTCATGGTTTTATACAGGAAATGAAGACACATCTGGTAGCCTTTCCATTCAACAAACATTTATTGAGTGCCTAATGCCTAGGCCCTGTGGGAGATACTAATATAAATGGGTTAATCCCTGCCCTCAAAATGCCCACAGTTGAGTCTAGAGGGCAAGCAGATGTCCCTGCCATTGAGACAAAATACAGCTATAAAGTTGTGCCAATTCAACATAAACACATGTAATTCTGAGGAGGGATAATATAGTTTCAAAGAGATCTGAAGAGTTGACCAAAGCCAGCCCTATATTTAGCAAACATGTCCCTAAAAACACCATAGGAAGACCTGTGTTTTTTTTTTAAGTTTTCTTCAAAATTTGTTATGAAAAGCTGCTCCTCTTCTGGAACCCCTAAATATTGTAAACAAAAGTATACTGTATATCCTTGAGCATATACTTTTATCATCTTGATATCATCATAATATATTGTTGTCCATCATTGCTTACAACAGCAGAAGATTAGAAGCAACTTACACAGTTAAACAAATTACATTAATCCGTAAGAGGGAAGACTATTCAGCCATTAAACATGATGCTGCAGAAGAAAACGTAACCATGGGGGAAATGTTCTCGATATGCCATTAAAGGAAAAATGAAAGCAAACCCAGTACAACAGAAACCCAATTTTGTTCAAATTATATATAGAAAAAAAGATTGGAAAGTACAAGCAAAAATGTATCTTAAGTGGTAGCATGACTATCCCTGGGGTGGGATTCAGAGTGATTTCACTTTTACGTTTTTCAAAAAATATTTTATATTTACCAAATACTTTGCATTCAGATTTTGGTATTTTCAAAACTAGATATCATATTTTTAAGATGCTTACAAGTCATAAGCAGCCTCTAGCTAAGCTCACAAACTGAAAGATCCAGAAAATCGAGGCCCTCGGCTGAGACCGGATGGCTGCAAGTCCTGCCTCGGCCAGCAGAGGGCTTCCCACTGGGCACAGCCAAGTGGCGTAAGGGCTGTGTTGATGTTTTCCCCTACAGGTATGTTCTTGATGACCAGTATGTCAGTTCCGTAGGAACAAAGTTTCCAGTCAAGTGGTCAGCCCCAGAGGTGTTTCACTACTTCAAATACAGCAGCAAGTCAGACGTATGGGCGTTCGGTAAGAATGTGGCCACACGAGACCCATTTCACAAGCTGGCTTCCACAACAGGAAACCACATAGCAGCAACATCCATTTTCAGCAAACCCTCTGAGCACTTACAAAATTACCTGTATACCCAGAGATAAGCAAGGGATTGAAGACAATGATGGTGACCCTTTCTTGGGTCGGTGTTAGGATGTCTGCCACTTATTGTATAATTGGCGTGTTGCTAACACCTCCACATAAGAATCAAAAGGACTAAAAGCTTTTTGCACTGAAGATTTTCAGTTTTCAAAAAGGAGTCACTGAAAACTAAAACCCAGTTTGCATGAAGTATAAAACATTGAAGGGCTTAAAACGAAGTCATCAGCTTTCTGCATTAAAGTGGCATGATAACCATTATTCTGAGTTGACCAATTTGGGGCGGGGGGTGGCATGAGTTAGCACTTTCTTTGGCCCATCCCAATTTCAGCTAGTGTCTTTGTTAAAATTCATCATTTAGATGAGGGGTCAGTAAACCATGACGCAGGACCATTTCCAGTGGCCTGTTTCTATAAGGGAAGTTTTATTGGAGTGCTGCCGTGCTCTGTACATATGGTTTATGTATTGTCTGTGGTTGATTTTGCGCTTGCAGCAGTAACTGCCACAGAGGCTGCATGACCTTCAAACCTAGCGAACTTACTGTGTGGCCCTCCCTATTTTATTAAAAGATCTGCATTGAAATTAAGTAAACATAATTACAAAATTGCTTCCCTGGTGGTTCAGTGGTAAAGAATCTGCCTGCCAAACAGGAGACACAGGTTTGATCCCTGGGTCAGGAACATCCCCTGGAGGAGGAAATGGCAACTCAATCCAATATTTTTCCTGGGAAATCCCTTGGACAGAGGAGCCTAGTGGGCTACGGTCCATGGGGTCACAAAGAATTGGACACGACTTAGCAAATAAACAGCAGCAGCAATTAGAAAACAGAGATAGTTCTTTTTAAATTGTGATTCCGTAGATATTCTGGTATTTTTCCACATCAGTAGGAATGTCAGGCTTGTTTAAAATCACTGTCAGATGGGCCCAGGATAAGTATTCCAAATTATCATAAGGTTATGGAATATATTAAATACAACTGAGAACTATTTCATGCCTGTCTTAGTCCATAAGTACAAATTGACTTTCTACATGACAACTGAGACTGTCTGAAGAAAGGAAAATTTAGTTATCCATTTATTTTTCTATGTGATAATTTTTTAAAACAATTCTTCCTTTTATAAAAGTAGTATTATTCATTGTAAAAAAAATTCCAAGAAATACACAGAAAAAGGAAAAACCAGAAAGAGCAATTTAGTGAAAACTTGATGTCATTTTGTGCTGATGAACTTGTCAAATTTAGTTTTAATCTCTTTGTATCAATTCATATGCCTTATAAAAGATATTTAAAAAAAAATAAGAATCCAGGCCCGCCCCACTCCAACTATCAGAAAATTATTTTATTTAAAATTTATCTTAGTCAAAGTCCCAGTGTACAAATAGATGAAATCAGAATGTCTCCAGTAGACCAGGAAGGAGCTTAGACCCCAGGCAGCCAAGCCACTACTTTGCCCCTTAAAGGTGGCCCCAGAGCCCTGACTGAATACCGTACAAAGATATTTCCGGAGTGTAAAGGGCAATTAATCAGGTTAATCTGCATACCCATAACACTCTGCAAATAGTTGTTTTCAAGTTAATAAAAATTTTTTATTCAGAAAAAAAAATCAGAAGCCGTAATAGTCACAACTGCTTTTTGACCAAAAATTGTATTACCAGGTCAATTGCTTACCTTTTATGTGTCAGAATTTGGCTGCAAATATTTTCTGGCTGTTTCCAAAAACTAAATTCATTCTTAAATATCTGACCCTAGTAAGGATACTCAAAATAAACCAGAACCTCTGAAAGCAATTCTCAAAGAAGAGCCCCACAAATATTTTAAGCAACGATATTATTCTTGAGATAAGTGGACCCGCTTCCAAGGAGAGAGTTGTGACTGCTAAGTCACTTCAGTCGTGTCCGACTCTATGTGACCCCATAGACGGCAGCCCACCAGGCTCCCCCGTCCCTGGGATTCTCCAGGCAAGAACACTGGAGTGGGTTGCCATTTCCTTCTCCAATGCATGAAAGTGAAAAGTGAAAGTGAAGTTGCTCAGTTGTGTCCGACTCTTCGAGACCCCATGGACTGCAGCCCACCAGGCTCCTCTGTTCATGGGATTTTCCAGGCAAGAGTACTGGAGTGGGTGCCATTGCCTTCTCTGGAGAGTTGTGAAGGAGTCAACAAATTTTTGGATGGTTCTTTTAGAACGTTTAAAACACACACACACAGTCCCCACAAATTGTAATACTGCCTGACTATAAATATTTTACATAAAATCTGTAGCCCTAAAAGTCAAAGAAGTTTTGAAGTTAGTACTTCAGTTATAGTTCTAGAACAATTTTCTCCCTTCTTACATATTTCTGGTTTTCCAAGGTTTTGAAGTTGGTTGACTGCTGGAATTCCCTGGTGTGGCTAGTATGATAGCACAATGGCCACCATTTAGAGAGCTTAAAATGTCCCCAGTGTCCTTTAAGTGCTCCGAGTGTTTTATCCTATTCAATCCTCATGACAACTTTGTGACACGCGAATATCCACATATTACAGACGGGCAAGCAGAACTGAGAAGGGCTAAGAAGCTTTCCCACCCTGTAAGTGGCAAACCTGTGCCTCAAAAGCCATGTCTGACTGGCCCCAGATGCCACCCTCTTGCCCACCATGACCAGAGCTCGGTTCCTTAATCTGGAGTCTGCCATACTCTGGATACTTCCAGAAAACACTCTGTGAACTTCCAGAAAATGAGTCAGAAAATTCTGTGCATTCACTGTTTTGAGGGGAAGCCAATGGTTTTAAGTAGATTCTCGAAAGGACACCTGATCCACAAAGTATTCTAGAACAAAGGTCCCCAACCCCCAGGGCAGAGACCCGGTGCCTCCTGTCAGATCAGTGGCAGCATTAGCTTAGAAATAAAGTGCATGATAAATATAATGCATTTCAAACATCTCAAAACCATCCCGTCCCCTCTCCGGTCCCGGGGAAAAATTGTCTTCCACAAAATGGGTCCCTGGTGCCAAGAAGGGGGAGAACCACTGTTCCAGAGGACTGAGGCAATAGAAAAGCAGGAAAGTTGTCCACGACTTTATCTTAAATTTCCACCCAAAGGTAATGTGTGTGTGCCAGGAAATTATTGCCAAGGCAGAGAGAAAGGGTGGGGACTTCCACGCCTCGCTCTAAGGTTGAAGCTGGGGCTGTCACTGTGGCTTCCACCGGGCCTCCACCTCTCTGAAGCAGCCCAGGGGCCCTGGCCCCAGGGACCTCCCCCTGCAGCGACCCAGAACGCCTCCCTGTTTCCCAGCGAGAATGGGCGTCGGGGCCTCAGGGAGCAGGAATAAGAGAGCTGGGGCTCCAGAAGGGCTAGCCCGGTCTATCCTCCCTGCCCTGCCCTTCTTGCGGGGACTCCTCCCCCAGGGACCCAGGCTCTGCCCCAGAGCCCTCGTGACGCGGGCGTGAAGCTCACGTTACAAACTGTACGTTCTGACGTGGGCTCTCTTTCCTCTGCCGGCTGGCCGCCCTCGCCGCGGGGCAGGGATCCTGATGTGGGAAGTGTTCAGCCTGGGGAAGCAGCCCTACGACTTGTACGACAACTCGCAGGTGGTCGTGAAGGTCTCCCAGGGCCACCGGCTCTACCGGCCCCAGCTGGCGTCGGACACCGTCTACCACATCATGTACAGCTGCTGGCACGAGGCGAGTGCCCCCCGGGGCCAGGGGAGTGGGCAGGGGCGCAGGCGCATCGGCGCCTTGTTGTGTCACCACCGGAAGGAGCGCTTCTGAGGGGAGGCGCTTGCTCCAGGGTCTTTGCAGGTGGCTCAGTGGTGAAGAGTTGGCCTGCAAAACAGGAGACACAGGAGATGTGGTTCAATCCTTGAATCTGGAAGATCCCCTGGAGAAGGAAAAGGCAACCCACTCAGGTATTCTGGCCTGGAGAACCCCATGGACGGAGGAGCCTGCGGGCTACAGTCCATGGAGTCACAAAAGAGTTGGACAGGACTGAAGCGACTGAGCATGCGCACACTTGCTACAGAGCAGGTGACGATGGCCCTGGGCCCCTGCTCGCAGGTGTTTGTGATCTGAAACCAGCACTGTAGGTGCCAACCATTTTGTTCATATTTCTTTATGGCTGTGTCGAGTCTTAGTTGTGGCTATGCTCTGCTGAGTTGCTCCGTCATGTCCGACTCTTTGTGAACTCATGGACTGTAGCCCGCCAGGCTCCTTTCTGTCCATGGAATTTTCCAGGCAAGAATACTGGAGTGGGTGACCATTTCCTTCTCCAGGGAATCCTCCCAGGGATCGAACCGTGTCTTTTGTGTCTCCTGTATTGGCAGGAGGATTCTTTACCACTGCACCACCTGAGAAGCCCAGCTTACTTCTAAGTTCATTTACAGTTAAATTTTATTTGAAACTTAGTCAATCTTGGCTATGCACAAAACTCTTTTCCCAGTGTCCACTTTCCACAAAACTCTTTATCACTTTTTGTAGTCATCATTTTATTTTCCCACTCAAAAACAGACCTACTTCCTTTTCTCTTGGTGGCGGTTTAGTTGCTAAGTTGTGTCTCTTTCTGAATAGTTTTCTTAGCTATTTTGCATGTTTAAAAATCCACAAACTAGATAATCAATTTGTTCAGCCTAAAACAAGTTTGTTCATATTTGGAAGAGTTTGTATTCTAACTTGGGAGATTCATCATCTCTATGTTATTGATGTGTCTGTCCTATTCAAAGACAACCAGTGTTATTTTCTATGTGCTCAATTCTACATTTGTGTTTTTCAGCAGGATTTTAAAATTTTCCTCATTTGGGGGGTACTTTTTTTTTTAGTATTTTATTGGGGTTTGTTGCTATTATAAATGGAGTTTTCTCTTCCAGTATATCTAATTGGTTATTGTATATATATAAGAAGACTACTGATTTTGTCAGTTAATTTTATATACTGCTCTCCTGATGAATTCCTTTGTTATTTGGGTTTGTTCTATCTTTAATTCTCTTGGTTTTTAAGGTATGCAGTCATATCTTATGCAAATAAAGATACTCTTATTTTTCTTTCCCAATTCTTAGGGCTCTATTTGTTTTCTCTTTAGAAGAAATGTCTATGCATTTCCACATTTTAAAAATTGCTAGTTTTAGGACTGAGGTACAAATATTTTACATAGTTTATTTTAAATCGGAACCCTCATAAGCTCAACCATTGGGTTTTTCTTTTATCTAGCTTCCAGAAAAGCGTCCCACATTTCAGCAGCTCCTATTGTCCATTGAACCACTTCGGGAAAAAGACAAGCCTTGAAGAAGAAACAAGAAGATCTGATGAGAATGAGTATAAATGTTGGCCAACATTTTCATTCTTTTTAAGGAAAGTAGCATAGCACAGATGTTGTAATTTAGCTAGTTTTTCTTAATGGTATTCTGTGTGCTGTTTTGTCTGTTCTATTATCTAGAAAACAACAAGGTAGGAAACAAAAGATTTCCTTGATATTTAGGTCAAGTTAGTAATTTTGTTTATTCTTCTCTTAATATTACACCTCCCAGCCTATAGCAGAAGCACATTTTCTGATTGCAAAATAGAGAGGATGTATATTATGTGTAAAGATTGAGCAGAAATGAAAAATTACTTTTTGGATATTTGTTGTTTTCTTAATATCACCACTATCATGATAATTAAATATGCTATTAACAAGTATAGAAATGATGACACCTGCCTTCATGTCCCAATGGTTTCAGTCTTTAGCATGTATGAGAATCAAATGGAGAGTTTATGAAAACACAGGTTCGTTAGGAACTACCCCAGAGATTCTGGTACAGCAGGTCTGAATGCAACCTGAAAATCTGTATTTTTAATAACCTCCTAGATATTTCCGTGCAGTCAGTCCAAACTGCCCTAGGGGACCTCATTATGTGGTGGGCACCATTAGGTGTTCCATATTCAAATCAAATGATACAGTTCTCATCTGATATCCAAATCAGAACAATGGATTTATGTCATCATGTACACAAATATACAACTGAAGTTAAACAACATTATTCAATAATATGTTAACTATGTGTCACAGAGACAACTTTTAAAGATGCTAAGGTAAAACTTGATGCCTTTTTCCTTATGCTCAAACTATTATCAATTTCAACTCAACTATAACCATGGTCTTGTATCAGATTGTTGCTTTCTATAGTACTCTGCCCTTATTTGCAGGGGATACATTCCAAGACCCCCAATGGATACCTGAAACCAAGGATAATACCTAACCCCATATATAATATGTTTTTCCTATACATACATAGCTATGATCAAGTTTAATTTATAAGTTAGACATAGTAAGAGGTTAACAGCAATAACTAATAATAAAATTGAAAAATTATACTGTAATAAAAGTTATGTGAATGTGGTCTCTCTTTCTGTCAAAATATCTAACTACAAATTTAATGCCTTTTCTATCTTAACTAAGCACTTAATGCACTGAGGCTGTAACTTTTGCAGTTTGATGTGAGACAGCAAAACTAGTATGAATTTCTTCTTTCTTCACAATTTCACCGATAAAAGATTCGTTGTTACCGTAGATCTCAGCCACCTCAGCATTCATTTTTTTCTTTCCATATTGAGAACTTTCACCCTTTCACTTAAAGGAAACTAAAACTTTAGGGCTTCTCTCTGGCATTTCTGAATCACCAGCATCACTCCTCTGGCACTTTGGGGCCAGGATTAAGTAAAACAAGTGTCGCTTGAACACAGCACTGTGAAACCGTGACAGCAGATCTGATAACTATGGCCACTAAGTGACTAACGGGCGGGACACACCAGACAAAGGGACAGTTCGCGTCCTGGGGGGGCAGAGTTGACGTCACGAGATTTCATCACTTTAAAACTCATGAATTGTTTATTTCTGAAATTTTCTACTAAATATTTTCAGATAGTGGTTGACCGCAGGTAACTGAAACCACCAAAAGTGAAACTGGGGGTAAGAGAGGCCTACTGCAACCATTTAAAATCCTCAAGTCTGGAGCCCGGGGACTTCTGGCTAGTTTGATAACTGAACTTTCTCTTTCCGTCTTCTATCTTGACACAGAAGTACAGGAGTCCTATTTTAGCTTCTCATGACTATTACTAAAAGGTACTGTAGCTTTCAAACTGTTCTGGAAATGTCCGCCTTCACGGCCTGCTGCTGAACCCTTAGGTTTTCATCGTTTTGGAGTCCGTCATTGTCATGTCTGTAATGTCAAGAAGGGAGAGAGATTGAGGTTATGTGAAGGGCTCTATTACAGTGAAAAGACGCTACTGTTTTCTAGATAGACGTTAACAATCTCCCTTAAGAGACATTCACACCCTTCCTCATTCCACTACCCCTCAGCTATTGTGAATGATTGTTCTTGGTTATTTGTTCCTTTTTTTTTTTCTTAACAGAGGCACACAAATCTCATGGAACTTTTGAAATAACCACTAGGGCATCTGTATGTTCAGTGAGCATTTATTTAGCAGGTGCTGTGTGCCAGGTTCTTTCCTCCCCAAGAGAAAAGGAACAAATAACAGGGCCCCTCCCCCTCAACAGGCCCATTGTTAGGAGTGGGTGCCAGTCTTTGCGGCTCTGATTCCATCTACCAGAGACTTGCACCACAGACTTAATGACCCCCTGAGAAAGATTTTTCATACCCAAACTAGGTCTTCCTGGTCCCCCCACCTCACCCCAAAGGCTGTTTTTCTTTCTTCTCCTTATTTTTATATACTTGATCTTCTAAAGATGAAACTGAGCAGGACTCTATGGGACCTTCCCGGGGACAGACCCCCTTTTCCCATCACCCTGCCTCTTGTTTGTAGAAAATCTTTAGCTTCCTAGACCTTTACTGCATTCTAAAGAGCAAATTTCATAAGAGAAAAGAGAAAATGCAGAAACAAAGAAAAATAGTCAATCAAGACAAAATGATCATAGTTTAGCCATAAAGCAAAGTAAAGGAAATTTAGTTCCTCCTCAAGGGTTACAGGTAATATCCTGAGCCATGTCCTTGAGCTGTTTGGCAGATACTAAAATCCCTACCTGGAGAAGGCCATGGCACCCCACTCCAGTACTCTTGCCTGGAAAATCCCATGGACGGAGGAGCCTGGTGGGCTGCAGTCCACAGGGTCGCGAAGAGTCAGACACGACTGAGCGACTTCACTTTCACTTTTCACTTTCATGCATTGGAGAAGGAAGTGGCAACCCACTCCAGTGTTCTTGCCTGGAGAATCCCAGGGATGGGGGAGCCTGGTGGGCTGCCGTCTGTGGGGTCGCATAGAGTCAGACACGACTGAAGCGACTTAGCAGCAGCAGCAGCAAAATCCCTACCAGGTGGAAGAACTTAACTGCATCCTGACCACCAGCACATAGACCCCAGACCGGTTACAACCAGAAGGTTGATGATGCTGACCCTTGAAATACCACCCAAGCTACCTCACCATCAGCCAATCAGAAAAATGTCCACAAGCTGATCAGGCACCCTACAACCCTCACCCCTAATGCTGCCTTTAAAAGCCCTTCCCTAAAAGCGAGCAGGAAGTTTCAGTCTTTTGAGCGCAAGCTGCTAGTTCTTCTTACTTGACCAAGTTACTCTTCAGTATGCTGGTCACCACATAAAGTGAACTGATGGGTAGAGTTTGGATATTTTAATCTACATAATCCATTTTATACCAGTTTTCAGGTCTGTATTGGATTCAGTGCTCAGAACTGGTCTGGGGGCTCTGAGATTTGTAAAAGCATTACCAGGTTTGGCTCCTAACCTAATAGTGTAGATGCTCTTAACACAACTCTTTTCAACTGATTTTATTGAACATAATCACTTTATACAATAAAGTAACTGAACATATTGGGATGCATTTCAAGACATGTGGGAGGTCGGGAGACCCAGGCAGCTTTGTCCCTGGAAGTGAAAAGCAGAGAAAATCCACGGAAGGCCGAGCACAGAAGTCCACACGAGACCACCGGAGTGTGTAAATCAAGTATTTATTGTCTTTGTGAGCTTTGTGCTCAGCACTTCTCAAACATTATGGGCAAATACAGAAGATTCAAGAGATTGGGAGCGCACTTCAGAAGTGACATGCAGTTGGGGTCCCCATGCACTTCACAGTTAGAAAGCAACGGAAGCAAATTTCTATCATGGCAGCTCAGAAGGGGGTTCAGGGAGGCCCCTGGGGCTAGTGTGATGTTGTCAGAAAGACGGTGGCCAAGCAGCTTGAAAGTAAAAAGGCAATGTCCTCAGACGGCTCTCTGGATTCTTCTCTCTTCTGTAGCCCTGTCACTCTGAAGAAGGCATGTTCTGGTCCAATCATGACTGGGGGGAATCACTAGAGTACTTAGATTAAGTTAACGTGAAGAGAGCATGTCCTCCTTTACACTTGAATTAAACCCAAGTGAACAGTGCATGGCGCGCTCCACCTTGCAGCTCCATCCATTCACAGGCGCGTCCTTAAGAGCCATCGGTCCAGATTCCACACGCTTGCCCCTGCCATGTATCCTTTTTTGCCACCTCCAGCAACACAACAGAAATCTCCATTTCCATTACCCCTGAACAGCCTTATAGGCCAAAGGCATACTGTCTCTATTCTCAAACAGAAACATCTCTTTAAGGAAACAGAAGTCAAGTCCTGAGGCAGAAACAAGTCTAAAAGTGATGCAAGGGAAGATGCCCTCTTCCCAGGCATGCCTTCTTTGGACAGCTTTTCCTGAACAGAGCCAGAGCTTTGACATTTAATGACATTCTTATCATTGCCTATGTTCTGTACTGTGAAATTAATATTTACATACAATAAAATCATCTCAAGAGGAAATAAAAAAGATTTTTCTAAAGCGAAGTCTGAACATCATCAGTATTTTGGAATCCTGAATTATTTTCTCCTTTATTCAAGTCCACAGAGCCATAAGGATTTTCTTCACTGCTTGCTTGATCTTTCCTGTTAAATAAAGTGAACTCACCTTAATATCATGATCCTAGAGTGACACGGCCTCCCTTGGACTCCAATGGCCCAGGTATCTTTTCCATCTCAGCATCTTACCACCTGTACTCATTTGCATACCAGTCCCCTTTTAATGGACTATGGGCACCCAGAGTGCATTGAATTCACTTCTTTAGCCCAATGATCAGTTGGCATGATGGTTGGCAGAGTAGGAGACTGGTTAGGGTATAAGCTCTGAAGTCTGAGAGCGGGGGCCTCTGTGCCTCAGTCTAACTATTCAGAAAATGATGGCAAATATGTAAACTCAGTGAAATAATGCTGGCAGAGTACTCACAGTATCCAACATATAATCTCCAATAAATATTAACCACTATTATTATTTTTAGGAACTCAGTGGTCATTTAGCCAATCACTTCGTTATAAAAAAAGCTTCCCTACTAAATTACCAATTTCCAAAGTATGAAGATCAGGATAGGCCTGCTTTGTACTACAACAACCAGCTTTAGAAACTGAGCGTGTATCTTCATGCATTACTGACTAGCTGTGCAAACTTGAGAAGGGTTCTTGTCCTCTCTGAATCTCGTCTTCTATATACATGAACATGATTACATAGCTATATATTATACAGTTGCTGTATAATATAAGTAATGTTATATTAATGTTAATGTAAGAAATACATAAGCAGTCTTATTTTTCTGTGTAGCTTCTATTAATGCAGTGTATAGCATGAAGGAGGAGCCCAAAAAGAATTTCTTTGATGAATGAACTTTGAAATATGCATTTTTCAGAAACAGAGTCACAGACTTATGGTTACCAAAGGGGAAAGGGAGGGGAGGGATAAATAAGGACTTGGGGATCAACAGATACACACTACTACGTATAAAATAGATAACCAACAAGGACCCACTATATAGCACAGGGAACTCTACTGTCTAATAATCTCTACAGGAAAAGAGTCTGACAAAGAATAGATATGTGTATATGTATAACTGAATTACTTTGCTGTATACCTGAAACTAATACAACATTGTCAATCAACTATACAATTTAAAAAAAATTTTTTTAAACTGATAATTTTTGTCAGCTTTAGGAAGGGAACTTGGAAGCAAAGAGTGACAGGAAAGCTCTATGTATCCTTTTGTATTTAAAACATTTTTACTATGTGAATATATTTTTGTCAATGCCTAATTTTAAAAATGAAGTTATTTGTGGAAACAAATAGTGAAGAAAATTGAGCAAAACAGACTAGTGCATATAAAAATTAAAGAACACATTTAAACAACCTAATGTGTGCAAAGAGTTTTGTTAGGTGTTATAAAATATGATTAACCTCAGTTACACAATCCCAACAAAAGTAAATGCTGTCTCAAGATCAGAAAACAAAACTAGTGGCAGGACACAACTATACATCAGGCCTCTGGTGATTTAAATCCGCAGTGAACTTGAATCTTCAACTCGAGAACAATGTAGAGGGTGCCTGACCCATGAACTGAGGGTACAGTAAGGCATCTGGGCCATGGGAGGAGGGATGCAGAGGATTCAAGCGTAGCAGTTTGGAGCAAATCTCAGAGCTCATTCTTGAACGATTTCACAGTTCAAATCCATCACTAATGCATTCTCTAGGATCGCTTCTAGACCAAGGAGGACTCCTCAGTAAGGGTAATCCCCACTGAGCTCACTCACCATTGCAGAGCTTAAAGTGCCTTTTAGCAGTAGGGAAATGATGCTGTGGCCAGGATGGAGTTTACTGGGGCATACCAGTAGTAAACCCCAGGCTGGAACTCTCCTGTATGGTGGGGCCTGCTAGGATGGCAAAGTGCTGATGAAATCTGGTAAACTTCTAGGGGGTGCACAAGAATATTTAGCTGTGAAACTGTCCACATACGTAATTGACTTGTACAACCTACCACTTAATGCAAATTTTCCAGTTAGTTTTCCTGAAACTGTTCTGTTTTAGGATAGATAAGTTCAAGAAAGGTCACTTACTTCCTTCGATCTCTGATCCCAGTGAAGATGAGCACAACAATACCAATCACTACCACTCCCATCACGACCCCAAAGATAATCAGCCATATGGTGACAGGTGGCTCGTAAGGGGGTCCCAGCGTCGGCTGAATCCCCAGAAACTCCAGGCTGTTGTCATCCAGCTGGAAGGCATCATTGATACGGCTCCGAGACAACCTATTCCCAAAAGCAAAACACTCAGGCAAAAGAAAACAGTGCAGTTATTTACTGCCTATATCACTGTCTCCAAAAGGATTTGATAAGGCTTATCCAAAGAAGCAGTGAAATCAAAGTCAATAACCAGGTTCACTGACAGATATGAGTTTTAACAATCATACCTCTTTCATACTGTGTGATCCTAGATTAGGTTTGGAAACAGCTTCACTGGAAAATGAGGTTGCAAGTGTGGAAATGTGCAGATGGCTGGCATTTGTTCATTTGTGACTACTGTGTTGTAAAGGCAAAGTTGCACGTTTGGTAAGAATTTCCCTTCTGCCGAGGTATGTCTACAATGACTTTATATCAAATAATGGAAAAGGAAAATTGGATCCACCTCTTCTACAAATGAATCAGGCCTTATACACAAGTCTCAACAGCTGCCTTTTCCATAAAAGGTGTTGACATCCTAATAAATGGCAGTTCTGGGGAGGAACACAGGGAAGGAGCCTTTGCCAAATTCTCCAGCACTGGGCTGGGATATGGCCGAATTTTATAGAGGAAAAAAGGATGAAGGTTATTTTTAAAACAAAAAACAGTGAAATGTTCAGTATTCCAGATTGAAAACCAAAGTGTCTGGTATCCCATTCTCCTGCCATTGAATACAGTGCAGGTCAGGAAGTCAGAGTCCAGCCAGAGAGAGAGAGAGATCCAAGCAGCATTAGCCATATAAGCCCCACAACCTTCACCTGAGTCTCGTCACTCTGGAAATAGGAAGTTTGAGGACTCCCCAGAGCTTGCAGGAGTGCTGGGCTCCTTCGTGATGATCTCAGCTAGCACTTTCCCCCAAGACAAGTCTTGTGGAGGCAGCCAGTGAGGCTGGGCGTGCTTGGGTTGTAAACCCCACTAAGCCAGATTTTCTAGGCCAACTCTGCCCAGCAAGTCTTGGGTCTTCTTCTAAAGACAATGAGCAGCTCAAGAGTGCCACTTAGTAGCATTTCCCATAGCAGCAGTATATTAAGCCTTTTTTTCTTCTCTTTTTTTTCTTTTTTTAATGACAAGGGGAAACATCAACATCTATCCAGCCTGGTGGGCTACAGTCCATGGGGTCACAAAGAGTCAGACATGACTGAGCAACTAACTTACTTATTTAGTATCTAAGGACTCCTGTCCCTGCCTGCCTTGTTTCAGACTTTGGTTAAATGAATTCTGCATCAAAGTCTCTACGGCGATGATGGCGACACCTGCCCACGTACCCTCTGCATTTACCATTTTCCGGGCGTACTGGTTAGACTTCCTTCAGCCGGGATCTGCTGCCTTTGCCTGAGAGCATTCTCAGGCTACAAGATTCAGCCCTATCTGCAGGCCAATAAGGCTGGGGAATTACTGTCCCCTGTACACAGTTCTCAACCAGTGACTGGTGGGAAGTGGTGAATAAATACCCCAGCTCTGATGGGACAATTCAGGTGCATGTTCCACACCATCTCCCAGAACTCCCAGCAGAATGGAGTTCTAGCTGCCCACAGTGGTAACTTGCTCATAACGTGTCATGTTACCTTCCATTCTGTCTCCTGTCCACACTCCTCAGTCCATTCTTCCTGAGGTGACTTCCCAAGTAAACTACTTACTTTCAAATCCTTGTCTAAGGACCTGCATCTGGAGAAACCCAATGAAGGCAATCCTCTTGCTATGAGATCCTTTTGGAATTAAAACCCAAGTTTTTAAGATGAGGGAAAACACTCAAATGATTCAGAACAGTGCCTGGCACCTTTAGGAACACACAAATCATTCATTACTGCTGTTGTTGCATTGGGACCCCCTCACCCTTCTATCCTACATTTGAAAGTAAAATATCACCTGATGGCATTTTCAACTTCAGTTCTAGGGATGATGTCAGACACATTGTTAGGTGACGTGACAAAGAACTTGAAGGAGATTCTTGGTTTCTTGTCACTCACCCACACGTTCTCTTCCCTGTGGAGAAACAAAAGAAACATTTTCCCTGGTGGCACAGAGGACGCTGTGAAGAGAATGAAGACTTCTTCTGCTGGAAATGGGGGGACAATCACAGGGTAGAGAGGAGAGCCCTGGAGCAGGGCTCGTCATGGAAGGATGTAACTGTCCCAATAACCTTAACACTGCCCAAAGCACATGAACGCAATTCCCTAAGGTGTGAGAGCAAGTCTTGGCATGATTGGTTCTGCTACCATATAAGAACCACAGTTTTTTTCAGTGTTAGAAATATTTCAAACAAAGCAGCAGAAGAATCAGCGAGGAATCACTGGTGACCCAGGATTGTGATAAACAACACGGCGGGCAGCGATGGCTCCCTTCCATGGACAGAGGTGATGCCCCGATATCTTCCAACCGTGCCCCTCCTGGCAAAACTCGTCATGTTGCCCCCACAGGTGAGGGTGAGGAATGGGGTTTATAGTAGGATGTGACAAGACTGTGCTCTCACAGCTGATGAGTCTGATCCTAATAAAATGCAAGGCAGGGTCTTCTCTGGTGATATAGCGGATAAGAATCTGTCTGCCAATGCAGGGGACAGGGGTTCGATCCCTGGTCCAGGAAGATTCCATATGCCACAGAGCAACTAAGCCTGTGACCCACAACTATTGAGCCTATGCCCTAGAGCCAGCCAGCCCCAACTACTAAGCCCACATGCCTCGTGCTCTGCAAGAAGAAGCCTCCACAATGAG